CTATATTTGGCACATATAAATTTTGCCGCCTGCCATTTGATCTTAATATAGCTCCTGAATACTTCTAGAAATTAAATTCTGAAAATTTTGCAGATATTCCAGGGTGTATAGTCTACTTCGATGATCTATTAATTTGTGGTGAGGTTATTTTATTAAATAAAATAAAAGAATTTTAGGCCGACGTAACACCCAATCTTGAGCGAGAAAACTTATCAATCAAAGTCTGCCACAATCACTTCCCACTAGGAATCAGAATGAAAGACACCTCGCAGGAGCAATAAACTGAACATCTAAAAGATTGGCCTAAACTTTAAGAAAAATGAAAGCAAATTATAAACAAATCATTTACTAACATTTGAAAGTCTATCTTTTGGAGATAGATATGACCAATTATAGCCAAGAGAAATTCTTAAAGTTCCTACCCATAAAAAAGTGATTGGTTTTTACATAGAACACAAGACTTGGTGAGCCTTTTGTCATAGAGAAATAATGTCCCGTCTGTGATAAGAAGAAGACATATCATTATTTATTATTTATTCCTATCTCTAGATTAAAAGTTTATTTTTTTTGGCTACAGTAGATTTATTTTTTTTTTTCATAGCTAATGTTAAAGTGTTGCTATAACAACTGTTTTGAGTAGATAAAGTATTACTTTAACAGCAAGGGTAGATAAAGTGACACTTTAACAGCAAGAGTAAATAAAATGTTTTAACTTTTTTTATTTAATAAAATTAACAAATTCAAACACATTAAAGATTAACCCTGCTGTACCGTTCGAGTAAACTACACAAATGTACTGTTCGGGTCAATATGACCCAACTATGATTTACGCTCCCTAATAGAAATAAAATAAGCTAATGGTGCTAAACAAAACTGTATTAATAAAAAATTATAGTTAATTAAACAATAATTATATTGTTACTGTAAATTAAACCTTATTAACAAAAATAAAAAGCATTTTTTCTTTCCCAGAAAACCCTAAGAACAAATATCTACAAAATTTAATTCAGTTTACAACTGGGACAGTAATAGAAAGAATGGGTTTTACAAATATGTTTATGACATATACAACATAAAATATTAGTCTTGTTATCCCTTTTAGAGCAAAATTTACAGCGTGCTCGTTTAGCAGGCGGAGTTGGATGGTCCATAGACGGTTCACTAGAATTTCCATCTTCTCTACTCGCTTCTGCTCGTGTTCTTTTTACCAGTTCTTGTGAGTCTTTAGTTCTCGGTAAATTTTTCCTGGAAAGGATAAGTGGTTTCACCAGTGTTTTTCCCAACTCCTCAAGAAAAATTCGTCGTTTTGTAAGTTTATTGGTATTCCATTGGGGATTTATCGATGTCCATAAAACGAACGCGTTGTAGGCAGAAATGTCCAGCATATTGTAAAAAACAATCATGGGCCAGCGATTTGTCTTCCTCTTACATGTATATGTACCAACAAGCTGATCTAGAGTATCCACTGCCCCCTTACTGGAATTGTAATCTAAAATAATTTGGGGCTTCTTGTCATTTCTGTCACTAATAGCCTTTTCATGATGCAAAGTACTCATAAGAATAACTTTTTTATTCTTTTTAGGAATATAGTTAACAACAGTGGTATCTTGTGTGAAGTAAAAAGACGAACTATGAACTTCTTTATTCGCAATTTGTGCTGGAAGCTCTTGTTTATTTTTTCTTATAGTCCCCAGCATTGTATTTTTTCTTTTTAGAAGAAGTTGTCCTAAATTGTACGATGTAAAAAAGTTATCACATGTAATATTGTGGCCTTTCAAATCACTACTCAAGTCGCACACCACACGCATTCCTGTATAGATCTGCAATTTTAGAGCATAAGAACTTTTACTGTCACATAAGGCCCAAATTTTTATGCCATATTTCGCTGGCTTGCTTGGAATGTACTGTTTGAATGGACAGCGGCCTCTAAAGGCAACTAATTGCTCGTCGACGGTAACATTTTCATCAGGGTTAAAAAATTTTGGTAGATTTTCAACCCATTTTTCCCAAATTTCACGTATTGCAGCAAGTTTATCAGTACGTCTCCTATCCTATCTAGTAGTCTTGTTATCAAAACGTATTACTTGCGAAATTTTTGTAAATACTTCAAGGGACATTGTTGCTCGAAATATACTACGACCCGTTTCTTCATTCCACAAACTTTTAGTTGATTCACCATGGGACTTAAAAAACTCCAGCTAACAATAACAGACCAATGTATGCTTGAAAACCAATTTTATCTAAGTCTTTCCAGTTGTTTCCAAAAACACGCTGTCCTTCCATGTTGGTCATATTTATAATTTGGTTTGCAACTATGTCAGAAAAGAGTGCGTCAAATGAATTTTTAATATCGAAAATTCGTGCACATGCGTACCTTGTAACTCCTGGAGCATTGGCCATAGAAAAACGACCGCGTTGATAAGTAGGATCGAGCGACCATTGGATAGTATCGTCTTTTGAAGGAACCGTTACAGAAGGTTCTACAGGATGTTGTACGTAGAATGGAACACCAAAGGATTCATCACTACTTTCTTCCTCACTCTCACTACTTGTATTGTTTTCTGTTTCTGATATGCACTCATCACTCTCTGACACGTTCGCGAGCTCGCGAAGCTCATCTTCGGTTAGCGCTCTACGGTGCGACATTATCAACATGCAAACATAGACTGAAATTTGAAATATAAACGAATAAATGAATGCGCTTGGCCTTGGAATATTAGTGTTTTACCACTTGTCTATCACCCCCACTTCCTTTTACGTGACATGCCATTCTACCTGACATCGTCCAGCTACACTACACATATTTTACAAGTTCTAGCTTGTAGAAACTTGTTTTTATTTATAGACGTACCTGACTGACAAACACTATTAGAAAATATAAAATACTACCAACTAAACATACCTATACAGGTAATTTTTAACGGTTTAAATAAGTGAGTCATATTGACCCGAGCGTACCATAGGTAACAATTTAATTTTTATCAAAAAAATGAGCCAGTTGATTTTTTATCTTTTATGCAATTGAAAGTAGGAAACCTCATATTAAGTAGTAAAGTCACGAAACACCAAAACGTTACGCCGCGTAATAATTTGTAAAATAAGAAATAATTTTTTTTTTGGTCAAATAGACCCGAACAGGACAGCAGGGTTAAAAACAACTGAAATTTTACAATTAACATTATTAGAAATATCTATTTTTGGAGCATCACAACTTGTGCTCGTTTGCTTAAACACTTGATTAGAGGTACTGGATTGATTTTCTGTAACATTTGTTTGACATTTGTTGACAGAGTAATTCATATCCCTAGCAACGGAGCAACACAATTGCGACTTTTGTGCTAAAAATTACAATTTTCTTTGAAATTCTATTTTTCACCTGAACTTAAAGTATTGCTATAGAAACAAATGCTGTATTGTATACCACGATAAAACCGCATTATCTAGTAATAACTATTGTACATGATTTTTTTAAATTTTTTTCATCTTAAGTTGTCCATTCCGAGCTAGTACAGAAGCCCTTTCAAAATATACCATACCATACCTCGTAGAAGGTCATGTTCCAACAGAAAGTGTCTCTTAAGACCTGGATTGGAAATTCTAAACGGCAACGCTGCATCGAGTTCACAATTTTTATCGTTTGGATTGTAACCCGATACTTGTCTTATAATCTGGTTTGAAACTTGATACTTTTTGATCTGTGCTTTTAAAAGGTTCTCTGTATTTAGGTCATTTGAATAAAAGTCTCATTTAAACTAAATTACTGAAGTAATTTGTGCAACTTAAGAACTTTATTTTAAAATGTAAACATCTAAACTTATTAATTACTTTCATCTCGTGTTACAAAAAAGCTTCCACTAAAGGACAGATGTCTCGAATTAATGCTTGATAAATTAAATAAAAAGACAGCCACATCTTAATTTACATTAACAATAAAGTGCGTAAACAAATATTTTGATAATTAAGATGAAGTCTAGGCAGGGTTGGTATAAAAGAAATTATTTTAAATGAACAAAATTTGATAGATTAAAAAGATCACGATTTAGTAGAAAGTGAATATTATTACACACGTCTCTTAAAAAACTGCACAAATCGACTTCCTTCTCTCACTAATTTAAATTTACAAAATATGTAGGCTCGCTCTAATGTCAATTTACGCAACAAAAAAAACTTGTTTTTGATGGAAACACTGAAGCTGTTTAGCTCTCTATGAGATGATTTAGGTTTTAATTTGCATTTGAAGTATTTCACGAAAAAATGCATTATAGAAGTGAATTGGAAGATTTCGCCTTTACGTTCATAGAATTTTTGCGGGTTATTGATGCTAACTTTATTAATGCAATAGATAAGTTAAGAAAAATTACGGAAAAACTACTTGTACTTGCATAATTATCCATGGACATAATATACACAAATGTACCTACTGCTCAGAGTTTAAAAGATTTTGCTTCTAACTTAAAAGAAGCATTGATAATTTAAAAACTACAAACGTAACCAGTAATATTGTGGATAATTCTTTATGTTAATTTATGTTCTTGGACAAAAACTCTACTCTCAGAAGCCTCAGAAGCCTCAGAAGCCTCAGAAGCCTCAGAAGCCTCGATAAGCTCATAATACCGATAGAAACTCTTCGCATCTTACTTTAAATGACTTTTAGTTCCCTTATGACAGCCACCAACAAATTGGGCGAGTTTGAGCAGCCATTTTCAGAGCCGCTATTTTGAAAAAAAATTAAGCAGTTTAATATAGTTTCTTTCAGCCATAAAAAGTTGATTTTCAAATTTTCTTTGTACTATAAATACAACTTTTGGAGATTTAAAAAAAATACGGCTTTTGGAGGAACCTGGAAGATTTCTGTTGAAGATATAAAAAACTATATACTATTTATATTTGATTTCAAAGATATTTTCTTATTTTTTATTTTTTTTTGTTTCTCTAAATTGATTTAAAATATTTATTTAAAAGTACTTAGGGTATCGGTTATAACAAAAAATCCTACTTACTTAATAACTGTTTCATAATATTGTTCTCATCCCCAGCCTTAAACGAAAACATTCCCAAATATTCTCTATCCTTCTTGCGAATAGTTGGAAGATTTTTACTAAATGCAATTGCACCATTCACGTCAACATTGTTTTCAGTTATTGAGCCAGTAGTCATATCGAACCCGGCTTCCTTCAATTTTTTTATCAATACCTTCTCTCTCTTCTTTATTTTGCGCATATTTTCGTTAAGTGAGTCAATTTTGTCGCGTAGTTCCAGATTTTCTGTGGCTAATCGTGTAATTTCTAGTTGCATGAATGCCGTTTCTTGTGTTTGGCCAGAACCTAAAAAAATGTAATAACAAATTTTAATTTAAATGTACGGCAACATTTTGTATCAGAATTAAAAAGTTAAAGGACATAGTAAAAAGATGTGGTTAAAAGTTAATACATTTCCAGTTTTAAGAGCTGGAAATATATGCAAAGGAAATATCCAAAGACATAGAAAAATAAATGCTTCTTCACCAAGGAATAGAGTAAACTATTTCAGGCCTATTTCCAAAAATAAGTCCACTTGTTTCGCAGTAAAATTAACGAAAATACAGCTTATTTCAAATCGAGTGGCGAGCCCTTCCACGAAATAGTTAATCACGCAGACAATAGAATATCCATGATCAGACCCATGCACTGGCGTTGAAATATTAAACAAATTAAACTATTTTAAATCGCACTAATTACAAAATTATTACTTTCTTAAATAATAAATAGAGTTTGACTGTACACAGATTGTTTTATAGATACCAAACTTTTTGTTTGTTATAATAACATATCTTTAATAATTGATACTTGGTTCTCCCCAATTTGCCTGTTGGATCTGTTGTTGTTACTGATAATACGTCATATTCTTCTTCTTATGGTGCCTATCCGTTACGGATGTTCGACACTAATATGGCTATTCTAAATTTGTTGATCCATGCTATGTAGTACTTCTTCTTTGGTAACTATGTCCATCCAGGAAATCCTCAACATGCGTCTATAGCACCACATCTCAAATGCTTCGAATCTCTTCAGTGATGCGTATAATGTGATACGGTGTATAAATTAATAAAGCACCCACGAGTAATTCTAGAAAAATGAATATGATATCTTGGTTGACAAAAAAAACTATTCCATTTGTAACGACAATGTTTAAAACGAAATTATATGAAATCATCACACGACACAAACAGAATCATAATCAATATAAATTTGACAAAGTGCCGCAAGAATGTGGACATGTTTCTTTAAAACCTTCGCCATATTATCTAGACTTGAACCCTATAGAAATGGTTTGGGTGCAAAAAAAAATGAAGTTGCAAAACAAAACGTTTATTTTAATTTAGAAGACGTAAAAGTGTTGGTGGAACAGGAATTTGCTAGACTTATTGTAGATAACTGGAAGAAAGTGTGTAAGTATTTGGAAAGTGAACGTCGCATAGGTGTAAGTACTGAATAATTAAGGATTGATTTAAATTATTCTGGTAACGACGACAGTGCATTTGGTAGAAAAAACCGAATGTTCGGAAGAATCTCAGTCCGAAGATGACAAAATACTTTAAAATACATTTATAGAAGCTCACTACTTGGAGGAGGATCATATAATTGACGATGACGTTTTGAAAGTCGCAGATAATTATGAGGTGAAAGAAAAAATTCATCGGGACTCTTTGAAGTATGTTGCTGGTTTTGTTGCATACAAATTCAAAGATAAATCTAGTTTAGGAAACCCTAGAAAAACTTATGAGACATATATGGAACCAGATTATGGAAGCAGAAAAAACCTAAAATCTTTCAACAGCTGGCATAGAAAACTTTTGCTCGGCTTAAGAGTACAACGATTTAAGGTACTCCTATGTCTCAGTAGGACACGCACATATATAAAATTAAGATTATTAAGATAAATGAACAGACAGATTAGTTTCAGTAACTATTAAAGAAAAGTCGACCAAAATATGTCAAAGTTTGTTAACCTTAAGAAATAAATTTTAATAATGTAGTATAAAATGTTCAATAAAACTTTATTTTGAATTGTCGGCAACAAGCTAATGTTGGAATATGTAAGTCAAAGTTCGAAGATATTTTGTAACACATTAATTTAAAACAATTTTCTCTAATTTAAAATGTTCAGGTATAACACATTCATTTAAAACATTTTTTTCTAATTTTAAATGTTAATGAAGTGATTCAGAAAGTGTTTTTAATATTTAACCATTCTACATGCTTTGTTCAAAATATACGATTTTGGAAATATTCCAGTAATGAATCCGACCATCGAAATATGTATGAAATATAATTAATTTTTATGCTTATTAATTGAAAAGACATTATTATATTCCTATATAAATAGGAATATACACACTTTAGGTCATGTGTGAAAGGTCGAAAAAAGTTTTTTTTTTATTTTTCAATAGTCAGAAAAACTATAGACAAGAAAAAATAAAAAAAATTGTAAATACACATCTTATACATGTGTGTGCTGTAGTGGTGAGTGCTTTACCACCCGGCTTTTTAACGTAAGAGATAGAAAACACAGTTACCTTGTGAAATAAAAAGAGACGAAACTCGTAGAGGTGGGAAATAATCGATAGAAATCTATAATTTACATTACATTGCATTAACACTATCGATTGTCTCACACCTTTAGACGTTAGCTTCGAGCTAAATCACCTCGGTCATAATTATTATGTGTGACGTCGTATGTGTGACGTATTTCAGTGACATCTTTTAATTTCGCATAAAGTAAAAAATAATTGACCACAATAAAGCAAAAAACTTGAATAAAATAAATTAATTAATAGTGATTATTTAGTCTAAAGTTTTAAATTATTAACCAAGAATAATTTATACTATGATTTGAGGAGTTTCATACACTCGGAAGAGTTTCATACATTCATACATTGACACGGAAATAAACATCAGTCCTTCGTGGATTAGTGGTAAGAGTTCGACACTGTGACGCAGGAGATTAGAGTTCAAAACTCACATGTGGTTTTCTTTTTTTTTATATTTTGAAATTATGCAGAGATCGTTTTGATTTGAATCACTACAACATTTATGTCAGTCGTTACTAGTATTAGAAGTGTTTAAAGTTAAACATAAATATCTTTCTGAATTTGAATTATTTTGTATTTCCGTTTTATAACATTGGAGTAAGAATAAATTGTAAATAATGAGTTTTTCGAAAACTTGTTACCTAATATGTATCATATTTTTTATTATTTTTTGATTGAGTAAAACAAAAATTTTATCCTTGGTGTGAATTGAACCCCAATCTTCTTGTCAATAGACCACGTGTCTAAGTATCACACCAACTCCACATACAATAACTGTTTTCGGACAGAACATACCTACCTTTAGTTTAGTCAAATATTTCAGTTGAGTTATTTTTATTATTAAATAAACTTAAAGATTTATAATTTAAAGTCGCTGCTAATTAATGTTTTTACTTTCATTCTTAATTTATTCAATCATTTATTCTTACATCAGAAATTATTAAAATAAAATATTTTTCACGGTCATCCGTATAATTATGACTGAAGTCAAATAGCCACGTCTAAGAACTAGTTTTATCTCATTCTTTCTCACAAAATCCGTCTTCTATCCTTTCCGCTATTTTGTCGGGTTTTAAAGCGACTTAAACACTTCTAATACTATAATAACGTCTAAAGGTGTGAGACTATCGACGGTGGTAATGTAATGTAATGTAAATTATAGGTTTATATCGATTATTTCCCACCTCTATGAGTTTCATCTCTTTTTATTTCACAAGGTAACTGTGTTTTTTATCTCTTACGTTAAAAAGCCGGGTAGTAAAGCACTCATCACTGTATAAATTTAAAGTGCCAAATATGCATGATTATATATATTTTATTGTCTATATATTTGATATTACCCGACTAACAGGGAAAGCGTTAGTGTTCTAATAGGAACTTTGCTTCGGACATGACGTCACACATTGCGAGAGAGATAGAGTTAGCTTGCGCAATAGCATACCGATATTTGTGTATCGTGGTCCCAGCGTTCATCCAACTCTTTCTCTTTGAACACTTTACCGTCTGCTCTTTGCGCAAATGGACAACATTTCTTAGTTATTCCTAGTCTTGACGAGTAATACACAATCAAGTACTTACCTAAAAGATTTGCCGATAAAATACGTTGCTGCCTTTCGTTTTCTTCTTGTAGCTTCTCGTTTTCTAGCTTAAGCTCTTTTTCGTAAGCCATATATTTAGCCTTTTCATCTTGTAACTCGAGCTCAAGTTGTTTGTTGATTGTTTTTTGGGTTTCGTAAGCTTGAGCAAGTTCTCCGTCTTCGTTTATGTATTGACCTATAAAGGTAGAGTCAGGGTTCGGGAGTTAATATTGAAAAACAAAAAGAAAACTGCAAAACAAAAAATAAAATATACAAGGATTTATATTTTGTATATTATAAAGCCTTCTTTAATTAATTACATAATACTTCGAATTCATTATTTTTATGGGGCTAGTGCAAAAAAGTTGCATTTTGATGTATAATAAAACTGTAAGAAATCTTTTTTGTATTGGATGATCTTATCTTCAGGTTCCATAGTAAATTTAAATTTTTGGGAATAACAAAAAAAAAATAAAATAAAAATGTTTATTTATCTGTTCTTTAAATCTAAATAATTGTTTTATGATCCAATATACATTTTATAATTGGTAGTCTGATTTTGTGTTAAAAAATCGTATAATATTTCTAGACTGCAACCTTAAACGAATAAAGCCACCGCTTGATTCTGGTCCACAAACAGCAGCTGATGCTTCGTTCCCTAACTTAACAGTCCTCTCCACAGGGGCAGTTGAAGACCTGTTTGTTGTTGTTATTCCCAGAATCAATCATATCCCTTATATCTTCGGTGGAAATATATTTTAACAAAGAGTCGTAACACTGCATTCAGAAATAGAAAATATGTCAATATAATCTGCAGCACTAAAATTTAACGATGGTATTTTGAATGTACGGATTTTTTTTCTTTCTGGCCTCTGTCTAGCTTTCATCACTCTGCGTATAGTCGGTTCGCTATATTTACGCGGATTTCGGATTAACAAAATTATGCTAATGACTCATTGATAACCAGTTGCAGTAAACGACTTCCCAGAAAATTACGTAAAAACTGCATTAATGGTCATATTTTAAAATACATTAGAATAACATTAGGGTAGGTATAAATTTGTTACAATATTGCAGTTGAATTGATTCTTTGCCAGTGTTGACATTGTATGTTTGGTGGAAATATTTAAAAATGCCTCGACGTGTGTTAGATGTAGATAGTCTAATTTGTAGTGTACATAAGTATTTTACTGATAAAAAAGAAAAAGGTGGTCCTTTAAAATCGGTAATGTCTGTTCAACAACGCGTATATGATGCTCTAGGAATTAGTGAAACCAAACTAAGAGGAGTATTACAAAATCGCAATAATGAACGGCCGAAAGAAGATCACCGAAAAACTCGCCTATCATTGAAAACGAAAGATATTCCAGATGGAAAAAAATTTAAAATTCGTGATACCATTTATCGAATGCGAGCCAACAAGGAACATGTGACCTTAAATACAATTCTCTTGGAATTAAAAGATAGAAAATTTGATGAAATTGGCAGAACAAGTCTATGGCAAGTGATACATAATTTGGGTTTCAAATTTCAAAAGGAGGATAACCGAAAAGCCCTTTGTGAAAGAAGTTCTGTTGTGCATAAAAAAATTAACTTTCTAAGAAAATATTCTAAATTAAAAAAAAAGGGCAAATTTTATATATTTAGACGAAACATGGATATTTTCTAGGAGTGCAACCAAGAGAATATGGCAAGATGATAATTTTATAGAAGGTGCTGATTTAATATTTTATGGTTACATTATGAAAATGGTTACATGAAAAACTTCTCCCAGATTTAAGTGAGCTCAGCGTAATTATTTTAGACAATGCACCTTACCATTCTGAAGTATTAAACAAAAGTCCAACGAATTCTTGGACTGTTAATAAAATTAAAGAATGGTTGACAAAGGAACATATTTTACAAAACATATTTTAAAATCAGAATTATTACGCTTGGCAAATATCCACGCAAAACCAAAAACCTTTGTTGTGGATCAGATTATTGAAAGTTACGGTCATCAAGTTTTACGTCTGCCACCGTATCGTTGCCAATTTAATACCATCGAATATATATGGGGAATAGCAAAACAATATTATGACAACCATATTGGGCCTAACGGTTATAGCGACGACGCAGTTCGGGAAACTTGGCGAAAGGCACTTTCAATTGTAACTCCAGAAGTGTGGTGCAACTGTATATTCAAGTGCGAGAAACTAATAGAAGATTGGTGGACTCGTGAAAATAAAATAAACGAAATAAGTCCAATTATAATAACAATTAATGGTGATGACAGTGATGATCATGACCATTATGATATTTTTGATGATAATGACTGATTTTCATTTTTGTTGGCAAGTTAATTTTTTTTATTTTTCATTAGAAATTCTCTCTATGGAAAAAATATACATAGACCATATTTTCTGTGTGAAGTGTAATATAAAATTATTATTAGGTTTATATTAGCCACATTACACTCCATTAATGAAGTAATTCTCCTTATTATACTGTCAATTATATAAAAGATTTTCCATTATAATTTAATTAAAAAAGTTATGGATTATTTTTCGTTTCATTTAACCAGTTGATATTTCTCCAAAGGAGCAGGTAATTAAAGCTGGGTACTTACAATAAAATTTTTAATCCGAAACCCGCGTAAGTATAGCGAACCGACTTTAGTCCCAGCTCCCGTATATGTTTTCGTTCATCTTTTATCATACCGAGTAATAAATTTTCGAGATGGACAAAATAAGCATTTCTTTGCATAACGACATCAACAATTTTTCTTTGGTCAACTGGTAGAAATCCTCAATAATGGATCATTCGCCATAAATGTTTTAAACCATTAGAACAGCTAGGTATACAATTTTATATAAAACAAAACTGGTGCATAAATTTTTTGGACGAAACATAATTAATTGAAGTCTGGAACATTCAGTTCCAACATACAATCGAAGCAACCGTTTAGCAACTGTCAGCGACCTTGCGTGTGATATTTTCCCAGGTTTTTTAATGCTAAAATAATTGGGACATATTCCCTCAGAAACTGCTTGACTGATTTGGTACTTCTAATCGGTACTAAGGTAGTCTGTTGTTTTTAATAATAATAATGGTAGGGTGTTTTCTATTGTGACGAAATCGACGACACCCTTCTCTTCACAGGGTTCCAGAAGTTTCCCTATTGGCCCAGAAAAACCAAGTGGTCCACTAGTGCGCCCATGTATCTGTAGAATTAAATAACGTAGAGGTAGTTGATTGTACTGAAATAAGCACACTAGTCATTAAAATAAAGTGCCGCAGTATTTTTCCAGTTTTCTCATAACGCATACTTGAGGGCTCGTGTTCACTACCGTACCATCGCATCCAACTGCGCTTCACTTCGATATATCAATATTATTTTTTAGGATAAATGTCTTTATGCTACTCGAGATGTTTGCAGCCGATCCTGATAAACGAGACACGTACCCTACATATCGAGAGCCTGGTTCTTCAATAATTGTTACATGTTCTTCTGTAACTACTCTTCGATAAAACTTATTGCCTTTTTTTGTTGCAAGACAGTCTTGTCTTTACGCCCATCAAAAAATATACTTCTGATTGACAGTCTTTCCTTCTCCTTCCGGAGATAACGTCTATGAGATGCACGATGTCACCTTATTTTCATCCTATCAATTACTTTCGATGTATCAGTTACAGTTATAACCCCCATATTTTATCTTTTAAGACCGGTGATGCTATAATTGCAGCAGAACGATTGAAGACCCTGCATTAATGACGTAGATGGTTGGACACTAACTGTTGACAAAGGAGCAATGAATTCCTCTTTATAATTATCTGTATCAGAAGAATGTGAGTCAGAAAAGCTGTTACTTATGGAACGATTAGAGGAATCAACGGTACATGTTTTAAACATTTCAGCAGTATTATATTTTTGAGAACTTGCCTTTGCCTTTATGGTTCTTTCCATTTTCTTCTTTATTGCAGCAGATGCTGCAAAACTTGTGATCACAATCATATCGATTTTTTCGACAATTTTTTTTTTATATTCATATAAACATATAAAATTCCTTAAAACATATAAAATGAATTGAGCAAAAACATAATATTGAGAACAACTTTATAACACACAGAAGTAATTATCCAAAAAATCCCTGTATCATGCAATATACGTGTACCTGTATGGGTTTTTGAGTTCAATATAGATTTCATGTTGTTAGTTTGATTAGCCAAGACACTCTTCAGTTGAATAATCTCTTCACCTCGTCGTTCAAGTTCGTTCTGCGCTGTAGCTAGTTGCTCGTGGAGTTGGGTTACACCTTGTCCTACAAAATAGTATAAATAAATAACCAAATAGGTTAGATTGGGTAATGTTAAAGATTAGTAACAAAAATTTAGGTCTGTTATACTACTGACAACAATAAATAGAACCAAATATATATTTTTAAGCCCTTATCTCTATTCGGATTGCCGAATATAGGCCTCTCCTAATTCTCGCCATTCATCTCTGTTATTTGTAAGACGTTTCCACATTGGAACTACAGTTCTCCTACTATCGTCGCTCCAGCGCATTTGCGGGGTTCCTCGCGCTCTTTTGGCTTCATATGGCCGCCAATTACCGATTTCTTTATTCCATTGGCCATCCTGAAGACGTTCCTTATATCCAGCCCATTTCTATTTTATTTTAGCTGCCTATTCGACAGCATCTTTTACTTTTGTTCTATTACGAAGTCTTCATTGGTTTTATGGTCTTTGCGTGAGATACCCAGCATATATCGTTCCATAGCTTTCTAAGTTTTTCTGATCTTCTCCATGTTTATTTTAGTGAATGTCCAGGTTTGAGCTCCATATGTAAGTACAGGTAGGATACAGGAATTTAACACTTTGGTTCGAAGTCTTTGAGGTATATTTTTATTTTTAAGTACGGACGAGAGTTTTCCGAATGCTGCCCATCTCATTTTTGCACGTCTGCTTATTTCGGTAGTCTCTGATTTTCTTTGCTTACCTTGATATTTTGACCCAGGTTGTTTGAAATTAGTTTAGTTTTTTTAGGGATTCTGTGTGTAGCTCCTCAATCATCGTATTCAGTGCATTCCACGTGTCGGCTATTAGTACTACATCTTCGGAGTATCTAAGAAGGTTCAAGTGTCGTCCGTTAATAGGGATTCACATATTTTCTCAGACTATTGACTTAAAGATATCTTCTAGGGCAGCTGTAAATAATTTTAGAGATATTGTGTCTTCTTGTCTTACTCCTCGGTTGATTTTTACTGGTCTTGTTTTGATTACATTACCCAACGCTACTATCATTTTTGGCTTGTTCGTAAATATTATGTATTAATATTCTGTACCTGGAGTGGATCCGATTGTTGACTAATGCTTCTTCTATTGAACAAAGTTCTAAGCTATCAAAAGCTTTTTCATAATCTATAAATGCCAGACATAATGGAAGATTGTATTTGTTAGTCTTTTCTATTAGGATTTTCAAAGTATATAAGGTAACTGACCCTATAATTGACACTGTCCGTATATTTGACAGGTTTTATCAATGAAGCTAAAAATTAAGAAAATGGATCCGCAATTCAGTAGATTTGTGGTAGTAACGCCATCTTTCATTTGTTCTGAAATCAATCCCCCCGACTTTCTTACTCAGTTGGTAAAAAACGCGCCAAAACAACAGTTGTAATGTGCATGCACACGGTGCAATAGCGTCTCTTGTGTTTTGATGTGGTGAATAAATTAAGGTGAGTGAAAATCAAGTTACTTTTCAAATGTGTTCTACAATGTTGCTACTGTTGCAAAAAAGGTTTTGTTGCTTGATATAACATTTATAGAGTCTAAAAATCAATTTTTCATTAAAAATGCTCTAAAATTTCCAATATGTCAGCTATTTTTTAGGGTGTCAAATTTTAGGACATCTTCTGGTAAAGTGCTATAAATTTGACATGTAGGTGTCAAATTTAGGGACACCCAACTATTAATATCATATGTTTGTTTTCTGTATCCATCTCACAGAAATTGCGTATAGTTATCCTTTTTTGGTATATTTCATTACCAATGTTTTAAAAACCTAAATCTGACACCCTAGTCAAATTTAAGATCAAGGGGTGTCAAAAATAGGTACACGAAAGTTGCTTTATGAAAAATTGAATTATTTTGCATTATTTTGTTAATAAGTAAGGATAACTAAGATAACTCTTATTTTTAGATGCCTACAAGGGAAATATTTATAGAAAATATTCTCAGGAGGATCTGAGTAGAGCTGTAGAAGCCTGTAAAAATGGAATATCTTGTGCTTCAGCAGCTAAACAATTTAATGTGCCACGTATCACTTTGATGTACAAAGTGTCAGGAAAATTTCCTATGGGATGCAAAAGTGGAGTAAGCACTGTATTAACTGAAGGCGAAGAAAGTCTATTAAAGGATTGGATAATAAATGTTGCTAAAACCGGTTTTCCCGTAACAAAAGACCAACTATTAGACAGTGTTGCCTTGCTTGTGAAAAGGTTGAAGAGACCTAATAATTTTACAAATGGTAGACCTAGTAGACATTGGTTTAAAGGATTTTTGCAGCGACATACGGAATTAATCAACGAATGACCCAAAACCTAACAAGCTCTAGGTCTGCTGTCTCGGAAACAAATATCCGAAAGTGGTTTAAGGAAATCAATGAATATTTTGTTGCAAATAACATTGAAATCACCAATCCCAGACAAATATTTAACGCTGATGAAACAGCCTTTTTCTTGTCGCCAAAGGGCAAAAAAGGATCAAAAATAGTATACAGCTATTCAAATGCAAATGACAAGGAATGTATCACTACACTAATAACAGGTAAAGTATCTTAAATAATAGGTAACACTTTTCTCTACTAAATTTTCATGTTTTCTAGGCAATGCTGCAGGTGAAGTAGCTCCGCCGATGATAATGCTTAGCTATGAACGGATCCCTAAGAATATAATATTAAAGTGCCCACAACCCGACTGGGCAATAGGACGCTCGGACTCTGGCTGGATGACAGCTGAGAGTTTCTTTGAATTCATTTCCAATAATTTTTACAACTGGTTGTTAAAAAATGACGTCCCATTTCCAGTTGTTCTATTTGTTGATGGGCATAAGTCCCACTTAACCTACAATTTAAGTGCCTTTTGTTCCGAAAAGAATATCATACTGATAAGTCTTCTGTCTAACGCCACTCACATTTTACAACCTATGGATGTGGGCGTTTTTCATCCATTAAAAAGTGGGTGGCAAAATGAAGTTCATGCTTGGAGACTAGAAAATAAAAAACAAAACCTTAAAAAAGAAGATTTTGCGCCAATGCTTAATAAAGTTTTGCAGAAAGTTCTTGGTTCTGGACAAGAGAAAATACTGAAAAATGCGTTTAGGAAATGTGGATTATATCCATTCGACGTTAATAGTGTCGATTTCTCAAAAGTGTTGAGAAATGAAATTGCATCAACTCTCTCAGATGTACAAGATACATGCCACTTGAAATCAAATAAAGTTGTTAAAGATGATTTAATAGGTGCTTTAAGGGTCATAGAATCTTTTCTAGACAACAATCTACTTGAGAGTTTTCGAGCTAAGGTGAAATTGGCTAAATGGAATGGAAAAGTAGAAGATACAAACTTATTTTTTCTTTGGAAGAATCTGAATGAAAAGGTACAAGCAAACAAGCACCCTGAAGGAGAGGTCTCGAAGGATATAATAATAGAGGTTGCACATTATGTTTTGTTAGAGGAAATAAATTGGGAAGATGTAGATATTGAAACAGAGGAACAAGAACTTTTAGATAACGGAGAAAATGAAGCAGTCATCAAGGAAAGTGGAGAGGCAAATGTAACAACATAAGATGAAGAAGATACTATTATTTTAGATCCTAGTAAGAAAGGTGAAGAACAAGCACTACACTATGAGACTATGGTTAGTATAGATAGAGTAATAGAGGGAGAAGATGTAGTTTTGGAAAACGGTAGCAAATATGTGGAGCAAACGGATAATGAGAATGTAACCAAAATAATAGAGATAGTAGGAAACAAAAGGGAAGAAGAAACGATTTTCGAGGCTGATGGGAAAATTAAATGTAGCGAGCAACTAAGTGATGAGACAAATAAAGTAAGAGAAACAAATTGGAAAGAAAAAGAAAAGACAGATATAACTTTGGATAATAGTGAGAAATGTAGCGAGCAAGCAAGCGATGAAATAACAGTTAAGGGAGTTGAAACAATAGAGAAAGAAATCGTCAAAAATAACGATAAAGAAGAGATAGACGAAGCAAAGGAAAATAAAAACATGATTTTAAAGAATAATAAGGATGCTCTATTGATACCCTCCCCTTTTAAATCTATTTTGTTTTGGCCAGATGGAAGTACAAACAAAAAATCAGGAAGAGTTGTCAAAGAAAAAGTTCCAAGTGTATGTTCCTCAGAACAGTGGAAAGAATATTATTTGAAAAAAGAAAACGAGAAGACTGAGAAAGAGAATGCAATTCTAGATAGAAAAAGAAAGCGAGAGGAGAAAAAACTTCAACTTCAAGAAGAAAAGGAGAAAAGATCAGTAAAGAAACTTTATAGACCTAGTGCAGTTGAATTTGTGAACAAGAATATTTTTTTTAATGGAAAAAATACTGAAGATAATTCAGTCGGTGTCGAAAAGAAGGAAACTACTCCAAAATCTGAAATTAATGTGACCGACTACGTTATAGTTCGCTATGAGGGTGAAAAATTCCCGGGAAAGGTCAAGAAAATTTCAAATTACAATGGCTTTTTTGTTACTGCTATGGTGGCAAGTGGACTGAATTATTGGAAGTGGCCATCAGAGCCAGACGAACTTTGGTATTCTGCAGAAGACATTGTAGAAAAAATAAATATTCCAACACCAATAAATAATAGGGGTATTTATTCCATACCAGAAATCGGAAAATATTGTAGTTTCGTGACATAAAAATATGGCTTTTCTCTACTTAGGTACCTATACTTACCTAAAATATGTAGATACCTAAGTATGTAGGTATCATTTGTACGTTGTTATTATTTATTATTATTATATAATATTTTATTTATTTATTTTTTTATTTATTTATTTATTTATTATTATATAATAAAAATTTTAGTTTCAGTAAAAAAAGTGTATATACTTATCACCTGATACAATTATTATTATCAATTTTATATTCCCTAAGTAAGTAAGTACTGAGACTTCTGACAATTAATTTTGAAAATTGTAAATGTATGTCAAATATAGATACAACCCACTGTCAACTTTTGGGACACTGTCAAAATTGGGTACAATTTCATGTCAAATTTATGAACAAAATCAAAATTTTGCTGTCAAATTTGGGGTCACTATTATAACCTAGTTCTAAACGGTTTTATGTCTTAAGGTGTCAATTATAGGGTCAATTACCTTAGATGGTCACAGTGCTGTACGCTTTTCTATCGTATTAATCTTTGTAAAGGTTTTGTAAAGTTGTGAAAGAAGTGAAATTTGTCGATACTTTTTCAGGTTTGTGGTGTCTCCCTTTTTGTGTATTAGTATTAGGACCAAATATACAACACAATAATAAAACTATAGTTTCAATACTCCAAACGCTCTTCTTCAGGCGCTCTCTTCTAGCGAAGTTTGGCGATGACTTTTCAAATTCTTTTGATCTTAGCCTTTTCTTATTGGTGATTGGAAGTCTAACCCAGTCCATTCTCTGACGTTCCTATCCACGTCAGTTGTCGTCTACCAGAATATCGCCTTCCATTGATTCCTTGCATATTGCCTTTCATTATCAGCTGTAAGATATTATATCTATCATGCCTGAATAAATTATTCTTCGCTTTTTCAATATGTCTAGCGATTTCCGATCCAGGTTTATTTGTCTTAGAACTTCTTCGTTTCTGACATGGTCTCTCCAATAAATCTTTAGTATGTGGCGCATATCCACATATCAAAGCTTTCCAGTTTTTTCATTGTAATGATTTTGAATGTCCGTACTTTCATTGCATATAGTAGGATGCTATATACCTAACATTTTACCGTGCGGTATCGTATTGTAAGTTTAAAATTATTAACAAAAAACAGTGTCATTTTCTCTGTACGCCGGTCCATTATTCTAACGCACTTCCACTATAAAAGAACATTTATTTATAGAACATTTTGGTTGTAAAGCGAAATAAGATCGACCGCCTGCTTCGCTTGGCTATCTAACCGACCGATTAATACTACGAAACAAAAATTTGCTTCTTCGGTTCCTTGTCCGTTTCTGGAACCATATTGCTCTGGAACGACGTCTTCCTTACATTTCCTATGTACCCAAAAGATTCAAAAGATCCTTCTTAGAGTGCTGTCTCCCTACGGAGGTTGGCAATCATAATGGTTATTTTTATTTTTGAACTTGCTGCTCTAAACAAATCAATCAATCTGCATTTATACCAATCACGAAGATTCTTCAAACATAAGTTTTGCCTTAGGCCAATAGATCTTCTTCCTTGAATCTTTCTCTGTATTAAATTTCATATTTTGGTCCACTCATCACCTGGCCTAGGTATTCCAGTTTTCTGGTTTGTATAATAAAGATTAGTTCTGTTTCTTTACCAACCCTCGCCAGTACTTCTTTATTTGTAATTCTATCAGTCCATGATATTTTTAATACTATGCGGTATAACCAAAGTTCGAAAGCCTCGTTTCTTTTTAAATTGCATTTTTTGAAAGTCCAAATCTCAGCTCCATATAATAATATTGAAAATATATAACAGCGAATTTTACGTAGTCTGGCAGAATTGGCCTGGTTCGTAGTCTGGTTCTTGGCAGAATTCTATGAGCCTTTCTCCTCTCTCGTTTCTAGTTCCTAATCCGAACTGTCCAACTATATTTTCAACTGTACCTACCCCAATTTTTGCACTAAAGTCTCCTAAAATGTAATTAATATCTCTAGATTTTGTTAATTTGATTGTATTGTGCAATTCTGAATAAAACTTTTTGATCTCATCTTGGGTCTGTTCAGCTGTGGGAGCACAGACTTAGATCATATTAATATTACATTTCCATGCTTGACTTTTTAGCATTATTATTCTTTCTGAGATTCGGGTCACATCTAGCACTGATTTTCTAATAGTGTTGCTTATGATGAAAGCTACTTACTTCGTATGGATGACCAGTTTTGTCTCCTCCAGTGTCTTTCCTTCTAAATACCAAAAAGAGCCAAAATATTTTCCAAAAAAATAAAGTCCTTACTGTTAAATGACGAATACTAACTGAACAAGAAGATAAAAATTTGTGAAATTAACAAAATTAAAAAAATATTATGAAAAATATAAAAGATGACAGAAGAAAAATTCAGAAAGTTAAAATTAAAAAAAAAATCATTGAAAATAATCAAAATTTTTCACAGCAAGCGTTGGATCCTTTTTTTTTAAACGGCTTTAGCTTAGTCAATTAGCCAGAATAAATATCTCTAATTTGATTATAAATTAAACTTAAATCTAAATAAGTGATAAAAAATATATATTATTACGGAAAAATACTAAATTACAGCAAACTATAGAAGCACATAAGAAAGAATCTGGAAGACATTTAAATAAAATCATGAATTACAAGATCAAACCAGAAATTAATAAATCTGAAATAAAAACAAACATGACGGAAAGAAACAATTCCAGGCTACAGCTTATATCACTACAAAATACCGGCCATGAAATCACCGCTCCCTAATCCTACTTATAAATTTTTTAGTACCCACCTTCATTAATACTATTTTGTAGCTCAAATAGCTGATTTTTAAGTTGCGAATTGCCTAGTTCAAGTTCAGATATTCTAATGGCATACTCAGCTTCAGTCTTAGCTTTCTCGACCTTTGGAGACAGATCCATTTCATCGAGACGTTTCTGCATACGAAGTTTTTCTCTTTCAGTAGCCGACAATTTATGTTGAAGTTGTAGAACCAGTCCAACGTCCACGTTTTGCTCCACAGGAGGTTCAGTTGTCTCCACTTCTTGATTGGTGTTAGTATCGCTGGTGCTAGTATTTGTAGGAGTATGGTTCTCGCTCGTTGCTACAACAGATTCTGTAAATGTTAAACAGACGTTTCGACAATACTGAATGTTAAAATAAAATGGTTTAAAATATATTAATTAAAACAAAAGCGTGAAACAGTGAGTTTCATACGGCTTGTATATAAAATTTTATTATTAATATTATCTAACTTATTTTTTATTGATCAATATTATTCAAAAATGACCTAATGCTTTTTTGATATAATGCCAGTTTCAATCTTCCTATGCCGATATATTACAAATCTATAAATAATTTTAATTGCTCAAATCAGGTGCACTGAGTACCTTCTTCTAACTGATATCTAGAACCCCTTCGAGAACTATTAGACCTTGTGATGGGAGGAATTGCATTGCTCGTTCTTCGTCACTTATTCTGTGAGCTGACATCAACCGAGAAGAAGCTAAGGGTCGTTTAATTTCGGGTATCATCCAGGTTTCTTTAACCTTTTCCCACCATTCGAGGATCTGTCAAGAGTGAGCATCCATTCCGTAGCTTCTTATAGGATAATGAAATAAGTACACACAAATAATGTAAAAAGGAAGAGGAACAAAGTAGTCACAATTCTTTAAAAACTACGGAATTCGATCTTGATATAAGTCATACTTTCGAAGATGAAGAGAAACTAACTAAAAGTAGTCAGCATGGACCGAAAAAGACTCAGCGAGCGAACTTGAATGACATAGTAAGATTAAAGTACATATTGAAGTACAGTGCCAACCTAAAAGAGGCTCGACAGCAGAGACTAAAACAAATGCAAAAGCCACAAAGATATAATGTCTTCCATATAATGCTTTCCATAATATGGAAAGGTCTTTAAGACCAATAATCTAAAGTTCATATCAAGAAATGAAACAATATTACTTATTATAGCAATAAAACTATTAAAAAGCTGCGAATAATTGACTCAGAACTAAGACGAATGTAGTAAACAAAAGATTTCAAAAAAGAAAGTATTTATGAAAAAAATAAGTACCTTACGGACTTATATCGTACAGAAAAGCATCTTCGACAGTAGTGGTACAGGCGGTGAATAATTCAAAGGTTGATATATGTAGAAATTTTCTCAGAGAAGAAAATAGTACTAAATAGAATCATGGCACAAAGGGAAGACAAAGAAGACTAAAATGGTCTGATTTTTAAATAGATATAGGCCGGTCTATAACAACTAAATGTTAAACACTTGAAAAAAACTGAAAAGTGAAAGAGAAGAATAAGAAACGCATTTTTTAAGTATTTCTGTTAATACTTCTTCTTCTTCTTTCTACTTTATAAATAGGCTTAATGCCTGTTTTACTTCGGTTTTTAGCCTCAATTGACATTGTCTGACCATCTTTTCCTCGGTCGTCGCAATGATCTTCTTCTATTTGACGATTTGTCTCTTGCTATTCGTACTATTCTATTTTCTGTCATTCTTTCGATGTGTTGATTTTATTCCACTTTTCTTCTTTTGGTCCACGCGTTTATTTTCTCTATACCACATCTCGCTCGTATTTCCTCAGTTCTTACTCTGTCTCTCAGAGTTTGGTTTGTTATTTTTCGTAAGACTTTCATTTCTGTTGTTTTCAGCAGTCTTTGTGTTTTCGCCGTATCTGCTCTTGTTTCCGCTGTATACGTCATTATCGGTCTTATTGTTGATTTATATATCCTGGTTTTCGTTTCCGTTGTGAGGTATTTGTTTCTCCAGATTGTGTTGTTAAGACATTCACTTGTTTTTGTACTTCTTCTTCCACTTTTCCGTAGCTTGACAGTTTTATTTCTAAGTATTCAATCTCCATTACTTGTTCTATTATTTTGTTATTTACAACTATTTTACATCGTCTCTGTTCCGCTGATATCACTCTCGCTTTAGTTTTCTCTGTTGAGATCACCATGTTGTATATGAGCGCCGTATCTTCGAATTCTTTAATTAATCTTTGTAGGTCATCTTCATTTTCGGCTGTTATTATGGCGTCGTCGGCGTAGCATATTATCCTTATTTCCTTTTCTCCCATTCTATATCCTCTTCTTTTTTAACTTTCTTTATGATTTCATCCATTATCAGATTAAATATTTATGGGCTCAGCGAATCTCCTTGTCTAATGCCAGTTTCGTATTTGATAGGTTACCATAGCTATGTTATCTTTATATATATTTTCAATGGTTTTTACTAAATCCAGTGATATTCCCTTTTCATATAATAAATGTATCGCGTTCCGAATTCTCACTCTATCAAATGCTTTCTTCAGATCTATCAGACACATATATGCTGGCTTGTTATATTCCAAAGACTTTTCTTTTATTAGTCTTATTACAAAAACTGCATCCGTGCATGATCTTCCTGTCCAAAATTCTTGCTGTTCCTTTTGCAGAGATATTCGTTCGTTTATTTTTGTCGCGATTATTCTTGTTGTCAATTCGAGTGTTGTATTTAATAGATTTATTGCTTGATAATTATTGAAGTCTTTCTTATCTCCTTTTTTTAAAAAACATCACCATGATCGCTCTCCTCCATTCATCTGGTATTCTGTTCATGGTGATTATTTTATTAATAAGAAGTTGCAGTTGTTGTACAAGGTGATCACCTCCATATTTTAAGAGTTCATTTGGTATTTGATCTTCTCCTCTATTAATACAAAGATATAAAAGACCAAAGTATATATTCACTATAAAGCAGAAGAAACTATGTTATGATTGAAATTAAATAAAATTTCCCTACGATCTTGGTGGTTTAAAATTAAGCCCCTCTGAAAATATTTGTGCTGAATCTTCAGTGCGAAAAATGATATGCCAAAAGAAGAATGAGGCTTGGGAGCAAAAGTGTAACATGATTAACACACATTTAGGAGGACGGAGAAGTACAGAAAGTTGGAAAGTATTAAAATCGCTACGACAGGAAAAGAAAAGAGATATAATATCATCAATCACACCGAATCAATGGGACGAATATTTTTAAAAACTCCTAAAGGAGGACAGAGCGGAATTTTTAAATAACAGTGATACCAGCAACGTAAATATCTTAGCCTCACTATTACGAATAACAACAAAAGAAGTAGAAGAAGTATGTAAGTCTTTAAAAAATAACAAAGCACCAGGACCAGGGAACATACCAGCTGAACTAATAAAATATGGCACAACAAAATTATATGAAAACCTGGCTAAACTCTTTCAAAGATACATCAACGGAGCGGAAATCCCAGAAGAATGGAAGACATCATGGATATCCACCATACATAAAAAAGGCAGACGGGATCAATGTGACAACTACAGAAGCATCGCTGTAACGAACTCGATCAGCCGAATATACGGAAAAATGATTAAAAATAAAATCGAAAACGAATATAAAGATATAGAAGTTGAAGAACAGGCAGGATTCCAGACAGGGAGATCAACGGTAGACCATCTGTTTTGTATTACACAGATTATTGAGAAGAAACTGGCCGTCAACCAGGAGGTGCATCTGTTATATGTGGACTTGAGAAAAGCGTATGATAGCATCCCACAAAACAAACTATGGGAAGCATTAGAGAAAACCAATATAAGCGCAAATTTAATAACAGCGACGAAATAATTGTATACCAAAACTGCAGCAAGGGTGAAAGTTGGAAGCGGGCTATCGAGAGGATTCCAAATTAGCAAAGGCCTAAAACAAGGGTGCTGCCTTTCACCGACATTATTTAGGATCTACCTTGAGCAAACTCTAAAACTTTGGAAACGCAAATGCAAAAACATGGGATTACCGATCAACAACAATACAATATACACTTTGTCATTTGCAGACGACCAACTTGTACTAGCACAAGACTACGATGATATAGAATATATGACAAGGAAATTAATAGAGGAGTACAAAAAAGGTGGTTTGGAAATAAACATAAAAAAGACCGAATATATGTGTATCGGTGGGACACAGCAGGACCTTACACTGGGGAATGGCGAAATTATTAAACATTGCGACGCATATAAATACCTGGGTATGACCATCACACAAGAAGGAAACTTAGACCGGACGATAGAAGAAAGAAACAACCAGGGAAGAAAAGCAATTACCCTTCTCAATAGCATACTGTGGGACCAGGCAATATCAAACAACAACAAACATAGAATATACAATACAATTGTTAAGTGTATAATCACTTACAGCAGTGAAGTATGGCAAATAAAAGAAAGATACAAGAGAAAACTTGAAGCAACAGAAATGGATTTCTGGAGGCGCTCAGCAGGAAAATCAAGATTAGAAAGGGTAACCAACAACAGAATTGGGGAAATAATGAATGTGATACACACAATAGTAGATGACATTAGTACCAAACAGCTTAGATGGTATGGACACGTACAAAGAATGTCCGAAGAACGACTCCCGAAACAAATCCTAACGTGGACCCCTCATGGTAGACGAAAAAGAGGAAGACCCCGCCTTAGTTGGAGAGAAGGCATAAATCGAAGTATGAGAGAAAGAGAATTAGATGAAGACCTTTGGATGGACCGAAGTGAATGGCGACTAGGCATCGAAAGACGTAGGAGAACGTTTTAAAACCGATATATATATATATATATATATATATATATTTATATATATATATATCTTCAGAGCCACCACTCTATCTAAAAAGGCAACAACTTCTACTTTCATACTTTGTAAGAATAATAGCAAACCCAGTAACTGGGTAATAAATCTAATCAATCCCATAAAGCCTGGGTAATATCTCTAAAAAAACTTTAATTTTAATAGTTATTTTAAAAATTGGGTTGTTAGTCATTTATGGTCTCATCATAAATATATCTATTTTAGTAATTGTATTAAAGACATTTCAAGTTACATTTTTACTAATAAATATTTGGAAAGATAACTTGATTTATTTTGAATTTTATTAAAATTCTTACGTAAAACATTATTAGACTTCTTCTGCACATTATTGCGTAAAATCAAATGAAACAATGATAATCATCAACGTTTTTAGAAAATAAAATAGAAAAGGATTATAGTGTATTTTTACGTATGAGAGAGTAATAAAACAATAAATTATGTATGCAAATCCCTAAACTGTTGATACGGGTGACTCAATGAAAAACAGATATTTGTAAATAAGTTTACAGAAGTATATAGGAAAACAATTTTAAATTGAGTATGACCACCAGGTATAAAGGTTGGAGCAGAATAGAATACAATAGTTGTGAGGGTTACTAATCCCTAAATAAGGTTGCCAGTGTCGGAGTGATGGAGGTTAACAGGTACTAATGAATTTGCAAGAAATGTAAGATGTTTATTTTATTGGTTATATAGGTATAACCAATAAAAGTTTAATAAGTACCTACCTATTTGCAAATAAAGTTTAATTCTTTAGATAAAATAAAACGTTTTATTTTATCTGAAATGAGTGCATTCCACGAAGTAAGGGTTTCAACAATCAAACATTTATTTATTTAATTCCAGGAATATACGACAGTAATTGACTAGATAATTACCTTCTAAACTTATTCCACAGAAAATGTGATAGTGGGATTTTCCATTTTGTAGGAAGGTCCAAGTGGCGTATTCAAAATTCTTAACAGTTCACTAAAAGTAGGTACTGCAGTTGCAAGGTACAGTTTATTGTGTATACTAGTGTTATGGAAAATTTGGAAGTGCCGTGTAAACGCCGAAAAATTGGTTCTTTAACAGTTAATGAAAAAACATTAATATTTAATTGTTTTAAATCATTTAAAGACAAACGTTTATGTGAAAGTGTTGATGAGACCGTTGAGTTAGTTAGCAGTACACTTGGTGTTGGGAAATCTACGATTTACAGAGTTATTAAAGAAGAGAAATGTGGTAGTTTTCAAATGCCACGTAATGCTCCAGGGAAACCAAAATTTCAAATAGAATATCATTTTAAAGAAGGACTTCGACGGAAAGTGCATGAATTCTTCTTTAGACAAGAATTTCCAACATTGGATAAAGTTCTTGTCTCAGTTCGAGATGATAAGGATTACCCAAAAATGAGTCGAAGTACGTTATGGAAACTTTTAAAAGAAATAGGCTTCCGCTGGAAAAAGAATCCCAGAAAGTCTATTTTATTAGAAAGAAGCGATATTGTCATATGGAGAAGGCATTTTCTAAGAACCATAAAGGAAATGAGAAACCAAAAAAGAAAAATATTTTATCTTGATGAAACATGGATCAACGAGGGTCATACACCAAATAAATTTTGACAGGATGAAACTGTTACAAGTCAAAGGCACGCTTTTGTAAATAACTTATCTACTGGTTTAAACCCACCATCAGGAAAGGGACGCAGGCTGATAATAGTACACATTGGCAGTTCAGAGGGTTTTGTTGAAGGTGGTTTATTAACTTTTTAATCAACTCGTACCGGTGACTACCATGAAGACATGAACGCTGATGTCTTTTAAGAATGGTTCGAACAAATGATAGATCTTCTTCCTAAGAACTGTGTAATAGTAATGGATAATGCAAGTTATCACTCCAGACTTATAGACGGACTGCCCACAACCAAATGGTTAAAAAAAGACTTGCAGAATTGGCTGAGTTCAAAAAATATTACGTACCATCCCGGATCTATAAGAAAGGAACTTTATTCGTTGTGTGCCCTTCATAAAGAAAAATTTAAAAAATACGAAATTGATGAAATTGCCAAAAATCGTGGAATGACAGTACTTAGATCCCCACCATATCATTGTGAATTAAGCCCGATTGAACTGGTATGGGCACAGATAAAGAGTGAAGTTTCAAGAAAAAATACCACTTTTAAAATTCATGATGTTAAACAGTTGTTTTTGGAGGCCGTAAATAATGTAAAACCTGAAAACTGGGAAAAGGCAGTAAATCACACTATTAAAGACGAGGAAAAAATGTGGAAGCTGGACAATATTACTGATAAAATGATCGAGCCAGTTATTATAAATCTTGGTTCTGAAAGTTCATCTTCTGAATCTGATTTGGATTTGTAACAAGTAGCTGTAAGTTTTATATTATTATTTTTAGTCATCTATTTAACATACCTTAGACGGTTTTAAAAACTCTTTTTCTCTTTTGTAATTTTTAAAAATAAAAAAAAATGTGAATTTTTTAAAACCCTTTTTAATGTAGGCCAGTCAGTTCTAATATAGTGTGTGATAAAAGAGGTCACTTTTGTTTACATACATATAACACTTTATAACACTGAAATAATTCATTTATTTTTTACAATTATTCAAAGTAATTTTTCAATTAATCTTGAGCACGCCCATGGAGTGGTCAGAGGTACCAGTTAAAATTATGCTAATTACTCTCTCGTTCATAAAAATAAACTATAGTAAAAATACAACTTACCTTCAACTTTCCAGTCAACGTTCTCCAACCTTTCTCTTGCTGAGTTACTACTAGTTGTAGACCTCACAGATCCATATCCAAAATCTTCAGGTACTTCTGCATTTAATAACACTTCATCTATAGCTGATATACTGCTCAAGTCGCTAATATTTCTTTTATGGAAACCTTGGTATCCTTGTGATTTCATCTGAAGTTTAAGTTCTTCACAGTATTGCTCTAATGTGTGATACTCATTCAACAGTCTCTGGTACGCCTCTCTATCAGAATCAGCTTCGTTCATAATGATCAATTTTTCTTCTTCCAACCTCACCTTGAGGTTTTCTTCGGCACCCTTTTCACTCACACGCACAATCTCGTTCATATTTTCAAGTTCTTCTCTTAATTTTGCTGTTTCTTGTGCCCAAACTTGTCGCTGGTCTTCGATTTCTTGCCTAATTCGATCTTGTTCGTTAATCAAGTCAATTTTCTCATCTCTTTCCGTCTTTACATCTATTTCTAATTTTTCTATTTTCTTGTTCTTTTCTATTATTAGATTGTTTAGAACCTTTATATCTAATTCCATTGCTTTGAAGGTTTGTAGTTTTGATCTAAAAAAATATGTTTATTAAAAGATATTATTTATTAAAAACGTGAAAGCTTTCGTATAAAAAACAAACTTATAAACGCCATTCTAAGTGAATTAATAAGCTAATTGGTTAAGCCAAAGCCATTATAAAAAAAAGTAAATTAACAGATCACGTGACTAGGGGAGACTCGGACAAAGCCGCCCTAGTAGAGGTTAATGTCTCACTAACGTCATTAGTGCTCTGAGAAAATGTAGAAGCGAATTGTTTGCGTTTGCCGATCTTATAAAGAAATCAGTGGATTTTCCTACTGGTAATCTAAGATAACTGCTTTATACTGTATTTGTTGCATGTTCACTCTGATTTTCTGAAGTTTATCAAACACACTGCTTAAGACTTTATGTGTTTACGCTTAGTTTAATATGTCATTTAATTGTCTAGTTTAATTTCAATTAATTATTATTCTATTATTGTTGTAAACTACTTAAAGGAAGTGTTTAAGGTAATTGAATGATATTAGATTTTATGTAGTGCAGAACAGTTAAGACGTTTTGAACAAGCTAACTTTTTGCAGTATTGAATTATGGGTGTTAATGCCTACTAAATTAATGAATTGAAATTGAATTTGTTATTTAGTATTGGATATATTTGGTTCTTTAAGCTGTTAACCTTGCCGTTAAAAATGATGGAATGGCCTACTCAACTACGACAACACTTTCTCTGTTCCAAGAAACACTCCAAGGAGAAGGGCTTTTGATAATAATATCTACGCAAAAGGCAAGAAAGAGATGCGATTAGACATTTAAAGGTACGATTATTTGGAGTCACCATTTAAGATCTTAGCTGATTAGTATACAAACTAGCTATACGCAATGGCACTTCGAACAATGTTAACCACAACAAAAAATTAGCTGGGTTCAATTCGGACTTGCAACCCGAAATTATTTTAAGTAAACCAGAACAGGGTTCTGCAGCAAAGGCTTAGGTATTCAATAAACATAACGCGACAAAGTTTTTTAATATCCTTAAGGATGTTTAAAAAAAGCAATTTCACCCTGCCTACGAGGTTTTTAATGATGACGAGAGAGGACTCATAACTGTTTAGTCCAAAAGCTCCAGATTCTCTCTCTCAAGAATATTCATCAAGTTGGTGGTTTGACGTTGTCAGCTTTCAACTTTTATTGTGTGTATGTCAGCTGGAGGTAACTTTATTCCGCCATTCGTGACTTTCCCAAGACTTAGGTTGAAAGCAGAACTTCGTGGATTGAGCTTCACCTGGAACTATTATTGTCTGTCACCCTTCTGGATGGATACAAAACGGGATTTTAGAAAACCTGGCATTTATTGGAAAAGTAAGCAAGATAGAGCCACACGACCGTTATTTGTTTACCACCACATTGTAGCCATAAAATGCAGCCTTTAGATGTTTCGTCTATGGTCCGTTTAATACATTCTACGTCCAAGCCATGAAAAATTTTCTACAAAACAACACAAATATAATCCAGTTATAAGTTTGCAGACTTCTTGGAGAGGGTTTGTTAAAGGCAGCAACCAAGTCACAGCACTAAATGGATTTAGTAAGTTTGGAATTGTGCCACTAAATCAAGATGTCTTCACATAAGCTAAATTACGTTGCTACCTAATGCACTGATGTGCTTCTTTAACACCTTAGACCTGATCACCAACAGCGTGAAGTGCAACGGAGGAGTCCGTACTTAACTCAGCTCACGAAGTCATAGGCTGACCTTTCGAACATAAACAAGATCAATCTGAGCGTGAGCAAGAAATTTTACTCCAAGAAGATGTGCTTCAACAAAGACCAACTTTCAGTTCACAACCTGGGTCTTCTTTCAGCTCACAAAGACGACCTTCCTTCGCTGTGAGCCCAATAGGTATTACTTAACTGCCAAAATCCAAAGCTGTTAATAACTGGCAGAAAAGAAGGCACTGCTACTCTGTTGACCTTAAGTCCATATAAAATGGAATTAAAAAAAGCAAAAAAGGAACAAAAAGAGAAAGGAAGGAAAAAGGAGATCAGCCGGATTTTGAAAGTAGAAAAGAAGAGAGAAAAAGGAGAAAAACAAAAGGTTTTGTCCAAAAGAAAAAACACAAGACAATGTACCAAGCAAAGCATAAAAGAAAAATCCAAAAAGAAAGTAAGGAGCCAAAGTGGCATGTTAAGTACAATTTAAAGAAAAATCTGACAGTGATGTTACTTTGATTATCTGTACTGCAGTGAATTGTATTCCTGTGTATTATATATAAATTTTGAGGGTATACAAGGGAATTATCGAACACGGTGATTAATTTAATCTTGCCCAAGTACTTTCGATCAATCGATCATCTTCAGGGGCATCTGAAATAAGCCAAGAAACGTTTTTTATAAAAAAGGAAAATTAATTCACTTGGATAAAAAACTCCAAGTTAATGGTTAAAAAAAATGTTATATGTAATAAACGTTTATAGACTTACTTCGTCAGCTGTAGCCTATCCGACATAGTAGAATGTCATAAATGTAAAATTTGGACATAACAATAGAAAATACAATACACTAAGACAAACAAACACTTTAAAATTTATAAGGAGAAGCTACATGTTGTATAGAAGCCGCAGACAGAATGGGCTCCCGGTCTGACGGAAATATAGAGATGACATGTGACAAATGACAGCTTGTGAAGGGCAGTTATGTGATCTGCACCTTTCAAAATTCTATGACACTAAGTATTGACCAAAGGTCCAACTGACACCACTATAGGAAATCAACTGATAAAATATAAAATTATATAGTATATTTTTAGTAAAAAAATGTTATATGTAATAAACGTTTATAGACTTACTTCGTCAGCTGTAGCCTATCCGACATAGTAGAATGTCATAAATGTAAAATTTGGACATAACAATAGAAAATACAATACACTAAGACAAACAAACACTTTAAAATTTATAAGGAGAAGCTACATGTTGTATAGAAGCCGCAGACAGAATGGGCTCCCGGTCTGACGGAAATATAGAGATGACATGTGACAAATGACAGCTTGTGAAGGGCAGTTATGTGATCTGCACCTTTCAAAATTCTATGACACTAAGTATTGACCAAAGGTCCAACTGACACCACTATAGGAAATCAACTGATGAAATATAAAATTATATAGTATATTTTTTTATGTAGATTGAATAATCCCAATCTCACACTCAAACCTGTCTATAATAATTAGGATGTTAGTTTGAGAGCAATTGAATACTTAATGTCAACTTCAATTGCAATTTATTACATATAACATTTTTTTCAACCATAAACTTGGAGTTTTTTATCCAAGTGAATTAATTTTCCTTTTTTATAAAAAACGTTTCTTGGCTTATTTCAGATGCCCCTGAAGATGATCGATTGATCGAAAGTACTTGGGCAAGATTAAATTAATCACCGTGTTCGATAGTTGCCTTGTATACCCTTAAAGTTTAATTATTCGAACATTCAACCTTATAGGGGAGAGTGTTGTACCTTGGGTCAATTTTTAGTTTTTATTTTTTTCTAAATCCTAAAATTATATATTTGCAAAGTTTTTCCAATGCATTAGTTAATTTGTCTATTTGACTACATGCTTTCTTTCTATTGACACATTTTAAGCTTAGTTGTTAGTTAAAAAATATATTTTAGCAGGCCCTTGCATGTTGACCCAAGGTACAAACTGGTAATGTACCTTGGACCAGCATTATATTGTACCTTGGGTCAGTTATAAAAAAAATAGAACAAATCTTGAAATGTTTTATTGAATATCTCAAAATAACCAGAACATTATGATTAACTAATGATTAATTTAGTAAATAAAAACTTATTTGACATTATATCCGCTAAATTTAACATTAAATTTCAGGTGCGCATTGTGACGTGCAGTTCCGCTTATTTTGTGCGGTTGTGGAAGTTTACGTACAATATCATTGCGTAAAAAATCATAAGTCTCGGTTGAGTCGTTTATAAACTTATTGGAATCTAGAATTCTACGTAAATATCTAAGTTCATTATTAATTCCACTGTTCAGTATCTCGGCAACATAATAAACAAAAGATTTCTTCCCTGCCACTTTCACTAAAACAAAGTCTTCTTTTTTAATCTCGTTATTTTCAGATAAGTCATATATTTTTTGGTCATTTAATAATTCTTCTTCTCTAGTTACCAAGTCCTCAAATGTACCTCCATCACTTGAACTTGATTCACTATCATACTTAGCAGCTCTCTTTGGCACATTTTGTATATCTTCTGTCGCTATTTGCTTTGTAACTGCCTGCACTTTCTCAAATGATACCGTCTTTCCCTGTTTAAGCGTAGCTATTTCATCTTTCTCTGGAGTGTCGGTAAGTATTCGTGACTTTTCTCTTGCTCTTCCTAACTTCTTTTTGCGAACAGGTGCCTTTGGATAGGGTCGCAACATTTCAGGTGTAATAGAACTTCCTGAAGTTCCTGCTTGACGAATATTTGAGGTAGAAGGAGTAGAGACTTCCATTTCATTAACTGTAGTTTTAGTTTTTTCCCCGTCCTGTTCAACATTGACTTGCTCGCGACTGTCAGTAAGCTAGTTTAAAGGACGATCTTTTACATACGAAGACAGAAACTCATTATCTTCAAAAATGTTTTCATTGACGGGATAGAGACCGCTCACCTCAAATCCCTTCTGGATATTAGATGTAGTAAATGCTTTTGGATATGCCTTACCTGAAAGTTCGGCTATATCGTAAATCGTGATAGGTTGTCCAGGGTGCATAATCATCCACTCACTACAGGCGGTATTATAGTAAGTTTTCATCGGTCCAAAAACTGATTGATCGAGCGGTTGCATTTTGTGGCTGGTGTGGGGATGAAAAGTTATCGGTAGAATTCCATTCTTCTTACAGAAACTAATGACACTTACATTCACGTGGCTATCGTGATTATCCAAAAGTAATATAACTGGATTTTCAACTGTTGGTTTCACATGATTTTTAAAGTGTTGTAGGTATTCCAAAACCAATATTTCGTTTGACCAGCCGGACGGATAGTTCCAACTGGACAACCTTTTAGCATGTGAGGCTTAAAATTAACCCTCGGAAATATCATCATTGGCGGAATATGATTTCCGATTGCATTTATTGAGGCTATCAAGGTTACATTTTGACCTCGCTCTCCACTTGTCATTTGACCTAATTGTTTTATTCCCTTAGATCCTACAATTTTTGGTGGTACATGGACAGTGGTTAACCCTGTCTCGTCACCATTCCAAATTTTTTCTGGGGAAAAATCTCCACGAGACAAAGCTTCTTTGTAGTTCTTAAAAAAACAGATATATTTGTTTTATTGAAGGATGTTAATCTGGCCAAACTTGTAGGTTCTGGTTTACGAAGTAATAAATCTTCATGTCTTCTAAGAAACTGCCTCAGCCATTCCTTGCCAGCTATCTTTTTTTGGTCCCAAGAAGGCGGATGAGACTTGTTATTTGCAGTTGCATACTGGTATGCTAAAGTACGAACTTCCATTTTCGTCAAACCATAGTGGAGGAGTGCAGCAGTGAGAAGATATATTTTTAACTCAGCTTCCTCTTCTTTATTAAAAACTTGTTTTACATTATTGGCAGCAACATAAGAAAATTCTGAAGCCCCCGACTGCCTGAAGGATTTTACGTGCCTGATCAGCGTGGTTTTTGATATGTTATAGCACTTTGCTGCTTCCCTAATTGATAATTCACCACTTATGCATTTATTTGCGGCTGCAGTTAAATCTTGGGCATTTAAATGTGGTCTTTTGATACCCACTTTACTTCTCGGCATTTTAAAATGACTATCTGAAACAATAATAACAGGTTTTTTTGGTAACAGACATACCAATTAATTTAAATAAAAGTCAAAATAATGTTAATTCGCAATAAAATTGTACCTTGGTAAGGTCCAAGGTACACGACTTACCGGTAACCCAAGGTACACAACGTAACAATTTCAGCTGTTTTTTGTTTTCTAAGCGTAAATATATATTGTCCATTACAGATAATAATAAAATATATATATATATATATATATATATATATATATATATATATATGTATATATATATATATATATGTATATGTATATATATATATATATATATATATATATATATATATATATATATATATATGTATATATATATTTACATTTGAAGCGGATTTTAACAGATAACAAATAGGTAAATAATTTACTTACGATCAAACAAAACACAAAACGCTCTGCAAGTCACCACGCTGCAATTTTTTGATAAGTCTATTTAGATGCCATCTACCGCTGATATTATTAAACCACTAATTCAACCAAATCGAAGAGAAATCTGCAGTGGGTAAGAAAGAAAGTCAACTGACCCGAGGTACAACCCGGTCCGAGGTACAACACTCTCCCCTATTGTGTTATATATAAATATCAAAATTTGCAATTATTGAAACCAGAAACTGATAATTATAAGAGAGAGACTCTTAAGAATAATGGTAACAAATTATTTTAACAATTCCAGAACACCACCATTGAAGTATTGCAGAGCGTTACAACGATAATAAAAATTGCGAGTAAAATAACCAGACCAAAGTATTTAGTAATTTATATAAACATACTTACTTAAGATCTTGTACATCGTTCTGGTAACCCTTTAATTCAGAATTAGTCTTATTAAGGTCATCAATTTTCTGTTGTAAGCTAATAATCTTATTTTCGAGACCCTTGTTAAGCGATTTAACGTGTTCAATAGACCTAGCTTCGATGCGAAGCTTCTTATATTGCTTTCTGGCCAGATATCTTCGAATTGCCGACTGGCATATAATAATTTTCCTGATTCTTCTCTTATGTTCTTTACGTGCCAACCATCCACGGACATGTTTTTGAATAATAATAGCCTAAAAATAATAATTTTAAACCAACAAGTGACAGTCTGCTGCTAACTTAACCTAATATAAAAAGAGATAATAACAACGTGGTCATGTCAATGACTGATACTTTATTTTACCACTTGTTTGGCTGTTATTCTATATTCTCTTTTATTATCAATGCTTATTTGTTAAATACAACATTAACCGATGTCAGCAAAATATATTTAAATTAAAGTTTACTATTTTTAGTTTTTGGGAAAAATTCAACATGTCCTTGTGTCAGTTGGAAAAAGAAACCCTCAAACCAGAAAAAACAAAACCTTGGATGACAGTAGAAATTCTTGAACTCATGGAAGAACGAAGAAAACATAAAGCAAAAGACCTGAATAAATACAAAGAAATTCAGACAAACATCAGAAAGAAAATTCGAGAGGCAAAAGAGAGGTGGCTCTCCGATAGATGCAAGGAAATAGAAGATCTGGATAAAAAGTACGATAGCTTTAATTTACACAAAAAATCAAAGAAATGACAGGTTCTAGAAAGCGTACAAAAACGAATATCCTTAAAAATGATAAAGGGGATATTATTACTGATATGAAGGAAAGATTATGTCACTGGACCAATTACATTCAACAACTATTTAATGATGAAAGAGAAGAACTGTCATTAGAAATCACCGAGGATACTGGACCACCAATATTAAGAGAAGAAGTCATCTATGCCATCAAAAACACAAAAGAGGGTAAAGCTACTGAACCAGATGAGGTGCCCATCAAATTATTAAAACTCATCGATGAAGATGTTATTGATGTAATGGTTGAACTCTTTAATCTAATATATCAGACTGCCACAATCCCCAGACAATGGCTGCAATCAACCTTTGTACCAATTCCCAAAAAACCAAGTTAAAGAACTTGCTCAGACCACAGAACAATAGCTTTAATGAGTCACACACTTAAAACATTTTTGAAAATAATTCACAGCAGAATTGTTAAAACTCTTGAATATGAGATTAGTGACACACAATTTGGCTTTAGAAATGGTATGAGTACAAGAGATGCTTTGTTCGGCTTGAATGTGCTGGCTCAGAGATGCATGGACATGAATCAGGATATGTACTTATGTTTTGTAGACTTTGAAAAGGCATTTGATAAAGTTCAACATAAAAAACTTGTAGATATATTAAAAAGTAAAAATATTGACAGTAGTGATCTGAAAATTATATCTAATTTATATTGGAATCAAACTGCCAAGGTAAGAATTGACAGCCAGTACACCGAAAATATCAAATTACAGAGAGGAGTCCGTTAGGGTTGCGTGCTGTCCCCACTACTTTTCAATGTCTACAGTGAAGCGGTATTTCAAGAAGCGCTCTCAGACTCAATAGAAGGTATATCTATCAATGGAGAAGTTTTGAATAACTTACGTTTTGCAGACGATACAGTAATAATTACGGATAACAACAATGATTTACAGAACCTAATGCAACGCCTTAATGAACGCTGTCATGAGGACGGACTGAAGATAAATTTAAAGAAAACTAAATGCATGATCATGACTAAATCTGCACATGCAAATATCCAATTGACTATTGAAGATACTGCAATTGAGAATGTTAATAACTATAAATATTTAGGAACATGGATAACATCAGATGTAGACCAAACCAAAGAAATTAAGACACGTATTGAAATAGCACGTACATCATTTATTAAACTTAAAAAGTTTCTATGTTGCGGGATATAAGGTTAGAACTACGCCTGAGAATGCTTCGATGTTACGTGTTCTCTACTCTTCTTTATGGTCTGGAAGCTTGGACACTAAAACAAGTTCATCTGAATAAGCTGGCCGCCTTTGAATTTTGGTGTTACAGAAGAATCCTACGAATATCATGAATTCAAAGAATGTCAAACATGGAAGTAACTAGAAGGATAGGAAATGAGGCGGAAATAATATTAACTATTAAAAGACGAAAACTTGAGTACTTGGGACATGTGATGAGAGGGCAAAAATACGCATTATTACAACTTATTATGCAGGGCAAAATCCGAGGAAAGCGAAATGTGGGAAGACGAAGAATATCCTGGCTTAAGAACTTAAGGGAATGGTTTAAATGCAGTAGTGCAGAACTTTTTAGAGCGGCAGTCAACAGAGTCCGCATAGCCATGATGATTTCCAACCTTCGATAGAAGATGGAACTTAAAGAAGAAGAAGATTTTTAGTTTATTTAGTAAATAAATATTAGTAAACATAAAATACACATTTAACCATGCAGTAGACGAGTCTAATTTGATAACTTTACTAGACGCGCCCGGACTGAAAGTCAGATAACAAAAAACTACTCTCGCTAGTTGTAAAACCATTTTATATTACTAAAATTATAAAAAAAACTTATACATGTAATTTACAAAAATAATACAAATATTAATGAAAACATTTCGTATACCGTAAAACGGGTTTACTTAATGGGAGGATAACATAATAACAAAAGCCATTTTGCATGGTAAATTTCGAGCGCCCATTTGACAACACTGTTTGCAGCAATTGTAGATGTTTATGTGTATGTGAGTTGACAATCGTATAAACTTTAAGCTGCTGGAATACAACATTTATTCACATTAAAAGATAAGCCTAGCAATTTATTATTATTTAGAGGTAATTTGTATTGAAATTTCATAGCTGTTACTCCTCGTAGAGACGTAAGACTCATAGCAAGAGGTAAACTGGTAAACCAGTTGTCAGTTGTTACATTCCGGTTGGATTCATATATCCGTTCACACAAACGTTCTACAATAGGTTTGGCAATATTATCTGTTTTGTATGGACCATCCAGTTCAGTGCCTACGTAAACTTACATATTACTCGTGTAAAATATTTTGGCATCACATAGTGCAAAAATTTTTATACCATTCGATCATCAAATCGAAGGTAATGCATTAAAAATCTAAATCTACTTATACTCATAGTTAGACGAAATGCTTCGATTCTGTTTCTATCTTCTGATTTGTATGCAGAACTATAGTATTGAGAATTTCATATGTAAAAAATGTATTCCATATATCAACAGGGGATTTTAAATGTTTAAGATTACGAGGTACTCCCGGTAAAACTTTTATTAAATTTTCGCTTCTGGTTTTTATTTTCTTGTTTTTAGGTGCACAATGTTTTTTTCACTTTGTAACTTTATTTTTACCAACAAATAAAATTCATTGTCGTCAATAATTTTACATGTCTCTTCTTAATCCGTTTCACCCAATTCCTGTTCGCTGTCTGAATCTTCAGATCGTTCCTCAATGAAATCATCCTCACTTTCATATTCCTCGAACTCACTTTCTGACTCTGCGTCACTTTCAACTTCTTCCATGAGCTTTCGAAGCCGGTTCTCTTCTCTTTCATAATCACACATCACCTGTGCAAAAAAGTAATATTAGTTTTAGGGAACGTATTATAAAATATTTAATTATTTTACCTGATTTTTGAAATTCTTCGTATACAAATAAATATAACTTTAGTAGACACGTCGGACTCACACTCCGAAAATGATAATATATCTCATAATACTGAACGCTGAACTGTGTCCTTCCAGACTAATGCACACTGAAACAATTCTAACATTCTTTTAAAAGCTAGACTGAGTGCTGTCTAATAATAAAAGTTATGGGTGCATAATATAGGGGCCGGACTTATAGTACGGGCTCGTCTACTGTAGGGTTAAAATAAATAAAGAACCTATTTTTTTGTCGTTTTTAAAAAAGATCACATTTATATTCCACATAGTATTAGCTTTTGTTGTATATTCCAATCATTCATTTCTATTCTGATAATAGCAAAGACATCATGCTATTTTTGCTATTTGTATATTAGTAATGACTTAAATATTGACAAATTATATACAAAGCTTTTCAATACTTACTGCTGCATTATACTTAAGTTGGAGAAACCTCAATCTTGCCATATAACCTCGCGCGTGCGTTTGAATGCCCAAAATACAGCGCCGTAATCGTTGATACTGAACTCTTTTGACCCACCCTCTGACTGATTTTTGAATTTTTATAGCAGCTCGAGTTCGTCGAATGTCTTGAGCCAATCTAAAATATAAAATATTCTGTTATGATATAATATAAATGACTACAGAATTATTATTTATCAACCATACAAATTACATAGGCAATAAGAAACTAAATATTGGGGAAAGATGTGAAACAAGGTGACATCATCTTACTAAACCTGTTCTCGGATGCCCTGTAGCATTATTTTAAGGTACTCGTCTGGGATCCCGTACTAAATACATCGGATGGAGACTCACTTACACTTTGCTAATGATGTAATAATCTTAGATAATTTGACATGAATTTTGATACATCTAAAAAACTGTAAACATTCTGTTAAAAGAGCAGGTTTGCCAAAATTATGACAAAATCGAAAGCTAGCAAATAAATCAGAGAAACTTAATCAAAAATAGACATAATAAACGAACAAGTGTAACTTGTACACGAGTTAAAAACTTCTTCGTCTTCTGTTGGTGCCTCCCCCAAATGAATGCTGGCACTCGTGTTGGTGCACATCTCGAGTTCCCTTTTGTTTCTTATTTTACCTTCGCAATTAGATGAACTATATCTGACAAGAAATAGGGAAGGGTGACTCATTAGACGGGTTTGAGCTGCAAACCAAATACGTCGTTTACTAATAATAAAATCAAAATAATATCAGTGCACAACATTTTCATAGATATCCGTACATTTTAATGGGCAATATGCGGTCCTTTACAGTAAGCTAGCTGTAACAACCGACGTATTTATGATTCGTTATAGTAAATTAAATTTTGATCAGTACAATTTATCCTCTTCTTCTTCTTCTTCTTCTACTTTTTGTAGATCTTTCGATCTGTTTAATTCTGAAGCTGCCTCTGGTTAATTTCTTGGGAGGTAGATTGCCAACTATCCCTCCATCTTTTAGGTGATCTTCCGGGGGGTCTTGAACCGGGCGGATTGTTTTCTAGGGCAATTTTTGGGAGTCTATTCTCATCCATTCATCTTACATGGTTGTACCACATCCTCTTGCGCTGCCTTCCCCATCTTACAATATCTTGAATTTTGCACTGCTCTCTAATGTTTGTATTTCTCACTCTGTCTCTTCTTGTTTTCCCCATTATTGTTCTTAGGGTCTTAATTTCGGCAACCCTTAGCATCTGTTTCATTTTGTTGGTATCTTCGCGCACTTCTATGCCATATGTCATGATCGGTCGTATGCAAGTCTTATAGATTCTAATTTTACTATCTGTGCGCATATACGGATTTGACCAGACTATCTCCCGCAGACATCCTGACAGTGCAGATGCTTTGTTGATCTGACTCCTCAGGTCCTTTACTGGGTCGTGGGTGCTTGATATATCTATGCCCAGATATCTGAATTGCATCACCTGTTCTATGGGGTTGTCCTCAACCACTAACTTAGATCTGAGCGGATCTTTTGCTATTGTCATACATTTAGTTTTGTTGGTAGAGATGTTCATATTTAGTAGTCGGCTTGTTTGAAAGAACTGAAATAGCTGCCTTTGGAGATCATCTTCTGATTCGGCAATAATTGCTGCATCGTCTGCGTAACACACCATACCAATTCTTTTGTTGCCCATTCTATATCCGAGATTAAGAGATGTTACTTTAATTGATGGATTCGACCGTTACTTGATGGAAATTCATTTTATGGGAAATTCATTCAATAAACTCTTTTTCCTAGTATCCCTCCTACAGAAACTTTTATTCTAGTAAAAAACCTTTTAGACCAAAATAGTACAAATCCAATAATTACATCTGAAATTTTACATCTTCTTGAAGTTTGCATAAACCAGGACTACTTTGAATTTAATTATAAAATATATACAAATAACAGTGCAGGACTTATAATGGGTAATCCTCTAAGCCCATTGTTATCAGATATTTTTATGGATCATCTAGAGACAAAGATTTCAAAACATCCCGTATTCAAACAGTTTTTATATTGGTGGAGATACGTAGATGACGTACTGGTATGTTTCACAGGAACTAACAGGCAACTCGACCAATTTTTATCATATATTAATTCAGTTCATAGTCATATTCAATTTACAATAGAAACAGAACAAAATCAATCCATAAATTTTTTAGATTTAAAAATTAGCAGATTTCAAAACAAACATGACTTCTCCATATTTCATAAACCTACCCATACTGACACGACTATACACAATTCGTCATCCCATCCAACACAACATAAACTGGCAGCTTATCATAGTATGTTACATAGATTAACAGAAATTCCGATGTCAAAAGAAAACTTTGAGACAGAATTAAATATAATTAAACAAATAGCAGTAAACAACGGATACAACGAACAAACAATTAATAAAATGTTAAATCAAAAACTACACAAGAAAGCCCTGAAATTAGTATTTCCACCACCAGAGAAAAAACCCAGTACCTTCTGCTCGATTACATATACAGGCAAAATAACAACAAAAATTGCCAAACACATAAAAAAGAAAGGAATAACACCAGCTTTCCGAACAAATAACAACCTAGGCAAATATATTAAAAATAACAAGAGCCAAAATAAAAAACACTTAAATAGTGGTGTATACAAACTCCAATGTGGCGACTGCCCAAAAACTTACATCGGTCAAACTGGTAGAAACTTTGATAAACGAATAGCAGAACATAAAAGGGCTTTCAAGAATAGAAAAACAGATTCGACATACGCACTTCACCTTCTAGATCATAATCATTCTTTTAATGACAAATTTAAAATTCTTCACATTCAAAATAAAGGCCTTAAGCTATCTTTGTTAGAATCTATGGAAATCAACAAATTAAAAAACACAGATATAATTCTGAATGACCAACTTGAGACAAACAGTTCTCCCCTCCTCAACCTATTTCATTAGAGACTATAAATTTGTAAACCCAAGCCAAAATAGATCACTTGAGAAAGGCAATCAGCCGAAACAGCTGTAGTGATAATATTTAAAATAAATTTTGTGGAAGTTTGAAAACAAAGTTTTCAGATGTTACTTTGTTGATAATTTTGCTCATGAGAAGATTAAGCAAGAAGGGCTTAAACTGTCGCCTTGTCTAATTCCTCCCGGTGTTGGAATATTTTCAGTGAATTCGTCTCCTGCTCTAACTTTGGTTACGTTGTTGTTATTTAGGTTATGGAGTATCTTTGTTATACTGGTCGGTGTTTCATTTTCTATTAATATATTTAGAATGTCTCCCAGGCGAACTCTGTCAAATGCCTTCGTCAAATCAATGAAGCAAATATACGCTGGCATGCCGAACTCTATAGCTTTTTCTTTTATTTGTTTTATTATAAATACTGCGTCTGTTATAGACCGCCCTTTTGTAAAACCTTGTTGTTATTCAGCATTAGTGATTTGCTTTTCAAATTTGTCCTTGAGAATACCCGTGAAAAGTTTCATTGTTGTATTTAAGAGGGTTATTCCTCTATAGTTTTGTGGGCAGGTTTTTTGTCCTTTTTTAAGCCATTCCTCTGGTGTTTCTGTTCTGTTTAATATTTTGTTAAATAGTTGTGCCACTTTAGTTGCAAGTTCCGGGCCTCCATATTTTAAAAGTTCATTGGGTATACCATCCGTTCCCGGTGATTTTCTGTTTTTTAGCTTTTTGATCTTTGCTTCTACTTCTTCGTCATTGATTGTAGCACTCACATCTGTTTCGCCTTCGTTTATATTCAGCGTTTCTTCAGCATCATATAACTCTTTAAAATGCTGTTGCCATGCCTCTATAGGTACTCCTTTGGTCTGCACGAACTTGTTAACTGGTTTTTTCCTGTTGCGGAGCATTTTCCATACTTTCTTTTGGGCACCATATAGGTCGTAGTCCATGTCGCAACTGAATTTGGCCCAATGTTCTCTTTTGATTGATTTTATTCTGGCGTTTACTTCGTTTCTTATTTGGACATATTCTGCATGAGCTTCTTCCGATTGCGTGCTTTTATATCTCAGGTAGCATTTGCGTTTTAATTTAGAGATTACTTTTACATCTTGGCAAAACCACGGTTTGGTGTGGTTTGTCGCTCTCGTGTTAATTTTCCGCTTTCCAATCGCTTCTTCTGCTGCTTCGTTGATGCATTTCTTAATTTTTTGCCAAGTATCTTCTACTCCCCATTCGGGTTTTAAGTCGATCTCTTTTAGTTTGCTAGTAATCCTGTTCTTATAAAGCAGTTTTGTACTCTTTGTTGCTAGCGACTCTATATTATGTTTTTCGATGAACATTGGGGGTTTTCTCTTTCGTTGCGGACGTTCTAGTAGCATCTTGCATAAAACAAGGTTATGATCAGTCCCCAGGTTAGCAGATGTTAGTGCTCTGACATCAAGTACTTGTGACGGAGTTATCGCTCGATTTGTGATTATAAAATCTATCATTGATCGCTGGCCTCGATTATTGTTAAAAGTGTATTTATGTTGGTCTTTATGAGGAAAGTATGTATTGTTGATTCTCATTTCATTTCTAGCGCAAAAGTCTATTAGTGCTTCGCCGTTTTCATTAATTATTTCTTCGTTGTACTTTTGTTTTATACCTGGTATGACAACGTTTCCGATCCGTGCATTAAGATCCCTGAGTACGATAATTTTGTGTTTCGTATTTATGTTATCTACGACGTTTTGTAGTTGCTGATAGAAATTTTCAGTTTCTGCTGTAGGCTTAGATATGTCTGGGGCATACGTGCTTATCAGGTGTGTTGTGATGTTACGCATTTTTATAGAGATTTTTAATAATCTATCGTTGATGTATTCGATATCTTTGATGTTTTGCGTGTATTTATCGTGCAACAAAATTCCAACTCCTGAATGCGCTCTTTCTTATTTAGCTTTCCCGCTGTATATGAGTATAAATTCTCCGTATTTTGATTTTCCTTGGCCTTTTTTCTTTGTTTCAGTTGATTCGAATATTTACTATATTTACGTAACAATTAATCCGAATTCCTAAATATTTACTCTCTATCAGTGATGTTTCATGAAGCCATCCTAAAATTATTATCTACAACAAAATAAGTAGACAAAAAAAGGTTTTGTATAATAATTTTTTTAGATAATTAATTGCTAAATAACAAATAGAACTACTAACGTTAGTAAAACTCGATCAATAGTGATCTATGGAGTGAGTAATACAGAGCCGCAAACCCCTATCTCTTGTCGTAATGCTCATCCATTGATATACCCGATACACGAGCGTATTATAGTCTAACTAGCAGACTATTTAGACTTTATACTTTTATGTTAGCATTTTTGTTTTCTAGCCAGGGTTTGAGCCATCTAGCCCACTTGATTATCTCACCAATGTGCTCTTGGTGATGAAAAATGACCAAGAATCTATTCTTTATTGTCTAGTGTGATATTCTTCGAACATGTGATAATATCGAAATAAAACACGCTACTTAAACGAATTCATTGCTAATTATACACTGTGTGTCAGCCAAATGAAATAAATTAGTTAATAAATAAATGAGATAATATTCGAAAAAACTGTCGAACACGTGGATTAGTATTTATAGTTGCGCATTTTTTCCATACAAATTTTTTATAGGGGGTGTATCAGATAACGGTGGCCAATATCAAATTGCTTATTTTGTGTAGAACACCCTGTATATTAATTAATTTTTAGATTTCCCAGATTATTTTAGATATTTTTTAAATACAAAATGAAAATAATAAGTAAAATGAAAAATTCACATTTAAAAAAGACAACTTTTTATTTGTCGAAATTCGTACCACTGGCTTAATACTTCTTGCCCATTTAAGTCTTGATAATGATAAAGTAAGCAAAAAATATTTAAGCATTCCTTTTTGTTGATATGTAAAAAAAAACCAAAAATGTATATATATATATATATATATATATATATATATATATATATATATATATAATCGGTTTAAAACGTCCTCCGACGTCTTCCGATGCCCAATTTCCATGCATCTGTATCTTCCCAAAGATCTTCGTCTAAACCTCTCTCTCGGATCTCTCTGTCTATTCCTTCTCTCCAGCTCTTTCTGGGTCGGCCTCTTTTTCCCTTTCCATGTGGTGACCAATCTATACTCTGTTTGGGCAGACGATGTTTTGGCATTCTCTGCACATGTCCATACCACTTTAGTTGTTGTACTCTTATATCTTCGACAATCGTATGTGTGACTCCCATAACCTCTCGTATACGTTTGTTATTAATTCTTTCGAGTTTTGATTTTCCTGCGGCCCGTCTCCAGTAGTCCATCTCCGTGGCTGGTAGTGTTCTTTCAGTAGTTGCCTTTAACTGCCACACGTCACTTCCATACATTACTATGCTCTTTATAATAGTGTTTGTATATTCGATGTTTATTTTTTTTTGGATATATGTTGATCCCAGATAATACTATTTAAAATGTATTACTTTCGTTTAAAACGCCAATGTTTTATTGTTCCATGACATAAGTAGTTGTCAGTGCTATAGTCGTTTGAATTTCATTAAACGAAAGTCAGAAAAACGGTCCTTTTACAGAAATGGACAAAATTACAATTATATAGGATGATTGGCTATGGAGATAAGACACGGACGCAAACACAAGTAGCTTGTTTATTTGCGGCTTAGACTAGGATATGCTGGGATCTGATCGGCCTATGGTGGAGCAGTACGGCAAGAGATAACGGCTTGCGGCTTGGTGATACTCCTCCATAGATTCCTACCGGACGGGCGTAACGCCTAAAAAACCGGATATATATATATATATATATATATATATATATATATATATATATATATATGTATATATATATGTATATATATATATATATATATATATATATATACCTCAAGGGACAATTAGTAAAATAGTGAAGCATTTTCACGAGCTGGGCCATGTTAGGAAGGTAAAAAATGAAGCTAATGCAAAAGTCAGAATATCAAATTGGCTGTTATGCTTGAGGTTGAGGAACACCTACATAAATCTGTTCGAGAAGCAGCCCTAGTACTCGATATTATCTATTCATCGGTTATTCGAATATTACAAGAAAACAAAATGCATCCCTATAAAATTTCACTCAGGAGCTCATGGACGATGAATTTGACAGGAGAACGTATTTTTGTAAACAAATGATGGCAATGTTAGACAGCAATGTGATCCAATTAAAACATGTTTTGTTTTCCGATGAGTGCACCTTTACTCTTCACGGTCATGCTAATCGGCAAAATTGCCGCTATTAGTCCAGGGAAAATTCTCAATGGATGAGAGAAGGCAATACTCAATACCCTGAGAAGGTTATCGTGTGGGCAAGAATTATTAAAGATCAGATCATAGGTCCCTTTTTCGTAGATGGCAATTTGAATGGCGAAAATTATTTACCATTGCTCAAAAACAAAGTAGTGCCAACGTTAGCCAACTTGTATCCTGATCCGGGAAACTCACAAGTTACAGCGAATATGATATGATTTCAACAAGATGGAGCACCACCCCACTACCAAATCTATGTTCGGCAGTACCTCAATCAAATATTTCCAAATCGGTGGATAGGGAGGCGAGTATCGATGGAAAGGTCACCACGATCCCCCGATTTGACGCCATTATACTTTTTCTCATGTAGGTATGTGAAAAGTATTGTATACAAAACTAAACCCATTGACTTGAGTGACTTAAGGAAACGAATAACGCTTGCGATTTGATCGATCACATCTGAGATGTAGAGTAACGTTAGAAGAAATTTATATTTACGGTTAGGGTGTTGCGAAGACGTTCGTGGGGAGCATTTTGAATATCTCCTACATCGACATTATTTTTTGATTTGTATTATTTAGAAGTTTTTGAATATGTTGTAGCCAAATAGATAATTTTCTTTTCTAAATGTGAATTTTTTCATTTTACTTAGTATTTCCGAAACAGTCAAAAATAGGTATAGAGCATTGTATTCAAAAAATGTCTAAAATGATCCGGGGAATCTAAAAATGAATTAAAATACAGCATATTATATTTAAAATAAGCAAGTTGGTATTGGCCACTGTTATCTGATACACCTGTATAAAAAGTTTTTATGGAAAAAAATGCCCAACTATAACTACTAATCGACGTGTTAGGCCGTTTTTCCGAATACTCCCTCATTTATTTATTAGCTAATTTATTCCATTTGGCTGACTCACAGTGTATGTCTTAATTATTACCAAATTGGAATACAGAAACACAAATAAAATACAGAATACTTAAAGCTCTTACCTTCTTGCAAGCATTCCTCTACCATATCTTTGAATATTTAGGGCCGTTCTCTTTATCCTCAAATATCTTTTCCTATATATAAACATCCTTACTGTCTTCTGCATCATAATACAACAGGCTCTAAGTTTATCAGAACGTAGTTTCTCCATATACGCCACTTGCCCAGCTCGGAAGAAAATTTTAGTTTTACCAAACTGATACGTGGAAGAATCCTTTATACACTTCGCCAATATATTTTTCGTGGTCTGTTCAATGTCTGTTTTAATAATATCTTTACTCTTACACAGGACTCGATACCTGTAGAAGAAATCAACGTAGGACCACCTGCTTGGGAATCCTGCGGAGGATAGTCGTATCGTCTCCAGTACACCGCAAGCTCTAAGTTGTTGTACTGCTCTTTTTGGTTCGTACTCAAAGGCTGTCTTGGAATCGTTTGGTTTTATGCATCTTACATAATGTGGAGTAGTGGCGTTTAAAGTGGCCATAAGTTTATTAAGGGAATCTCTAAACTAAAATAAAAGAATTATAAAGTTCACGAAGGACAAAATCTGTTAATTTAAAAAAGAAGTAATCGTAAAAACAGTAACGAAATAAAAATTCAAAGAGGAGTTAGACAGGGTGCTACACTATCGCCAAAGATTTTTATAACTGCCTTGGCCGATGCTTTAAAACTCTTGGTTAGTATTATAATTTAGGGTTAAGTGTCGACAGGGAGAGATTGCACCATCTGATTTATGCTGATTAAATAGTTTTATTTTAAAGTAACGAAAAATAAGTTTTTTTTTATTGGGTTATGAAAAATAAGTTTAAAAATAAATCTTCCCAAAATAACAACTTAAAAATTTAGAAAGTGTAACGTTTACAACGTTACATTTTTGTTATTATTAATTTCAAAGTACTTTCCATTATTTTCTGCTCATACTATTTGATTTTCGTTGATAATAACTTCTTTTTTCTTTGTTTGTATTCCTATATTTCATTTCAATATTTTCCTATTACAAATAAATTCACCGATTAATTTCTTAAGTCCCCTCGTAGTTATACCTTCGCTTACTTTATCATACAAAAAGAGAAACCCCACCACTAAATAATTTACTTCTATTAATCCGATCCGATTTAATTTCTTTTTAAAATAAACCATCAAACGACAAGATACTAAAAAATAAGTCCTCGTGGTCAGAAACTTCCAATGGTCTGGGTAATTTAATACTTTGTTCTTTTTATAACAACATATTTTCATAGATTAATCAAAAACATTAGCACTGTAGTTAATTTTCTGTACAATTTTGTGTGCGCTAGTACTTAAAAACTGCTTACAATTTTTATTTTCTTTTTACCTTTGCTGTAATAATAATAATTCAATATAAATCACTAGTATTAATCGCACAACTTTGTCTTTTTCGTTTTTCATTTAATAATTTATCTATTAATTGCAGTTATTAATTTGTGAGTTTTGGCAACATCAGAGAGTTCTGGAACTGTATACAGTTCTTAGAGAGAAGAACTTTCCGCTTGCCAGAATTCTTCTGTTGTTGGACAAAACTCGTGCCATGACATATTTTATATCGGTTTTTGTTTTTCCAGCCACGTTCACCTTGGTTATGATATAAGAAAATCTACGTTCACCTTGGTTATGATATAAGAAAATCTACGTTCACCTTTCATATGATATAAGAAAATCCACGTTCACCTTGGTTATGATATAAGAAAATCTACGTTCACCTTGGTTATGATATAAGATAATCTACGTTCACCTTGGATATGATATAAGAAAATCTACGTTGACCTTGTTTTTGGAATAAGAAAATCCATCTTGGTTTTGAGGATCCACATGGTTTTGGCTTAGAGGCATGGTTTTTTGCAAATAGTTTATGGTTCGAGTTGAGAAGAGAGCAACAGGAGGATTTCTCATAGAGTTAAGCTTAGTTCTTTCTTTCTTTGAATTTTGTATATAGATGCTTAATTCCCTGTTGCTAGAACCTCAATTTTTAATTGTTATTATATTTTCATGTATTATTTGATTAACTTATAAAATTAATAAAGATATGTGTTGAAGAATTATTTTATTAATAATTCCCGATTTCTCAAATTAAATTAGTTTATGCCCAATAACACCCCTGAGGGGTTTCAAGGTGCAATGGATGAGCTAGCCGTTACAAAAGACGAAGTAAAACTTGTTGATAAATGCATATACCTTGGACAAATCAAACTGGTGAGATATTAAAAAGAAAAGCACATGAACGAGCAGCATGTAGAGCTTGTAAAAACGTATTTGAAGATGGCAACATATCGATTAATCTAAAGAGAAAAGTCTTCGTCAGAAAGTGTGTCCCGTCAATGCCTCAAAACTAAGAATCGCACAAACAACGAGGAAACGTTCAATCACAAGGTGTAATTATAAAATTTAGGATCAGAAACGTAGATCTACGAAACAAAAGTAGAGTTACAGTTGTTGTGAAGAGAGCTTGCAGATTGAAATAGACATGGTGTGTTCTGCCAGTAATAAAATACGATGCAGAAACACTGCCCTAATAAAAAATAATGCCATATAACTAAGAATCACATAAAATAGAACGAAGCGTTAATTGATAGTAGTGTCAATAAAAGAACACTGCATGGAGTGATTGCGGGGTGGATTGAGTAGCTCTGCGGTTACCACAGCCGGTCCCAAGCCCGGATAAAGTGTGGAGGGCTATTGGCAAGGTTAGCAACCTAGCCATCGTAAAAACAAATACTGTTCAAAGAAACAATGAACAGCCTCGAAATCGGATTGATACTATGAAGATGACTACGGCAAGAAATAAGGACAAGCGAAAAACATCCAAAACCCAGATGAGAATTATCAGATCATTTAACTCGAGAGACCAAGAAATAACCCAAGTGCTGAAAGAGAAAGAAATAAACATTTGTACTGTACAGGAAACAAAAAGAAAGGAAAAGGTCAATAAAAATTAGATGAATACATACTAATCTACAGTGGAGTAGTAAAAGAAAACAGGGCCAAAGAAGACGTAGCCTTACTTATACAGCAAAGGTACGAAAATCACATCAAAGAGTGCCAATATATATCAGAAAGAATAGTAACAGCAAAGATAAGAATGGAGAAGAAATATACGGCCCAGAAAATAACAAGCCTCAAACAACAAGAAAAGCGTTTTATGACCAATAACAACAATCAACTCAAAGGAAAGATGATAATATTGGGGGACTTTAACGCTCGAATAGGCAATCAAATCTTCTTCTTCTTAGGGTCCTGTCCGTTTCGAACGTTGGCGATCATTCTGGTTACGACAATTTTGTTGGTTGCTATACGAAATAGCTGTGTTGAGGTCTTTCTATACCATGCTCTCAGGTTAGCAAGCCAGAATATTCTTCTTCGTCATGGGGCGCTTTTTCCTTCAATTTTACCCTGTAAAATACATTAAAGTAGCTTGTATCTGCCTTGATTTCTCATTATATGTCCCAAGTACTCCAGCTTACGGCTCTTTACAATGTTGACCAAATCCGCGGTTGTCTCCGCAGTACTTCTTCATTGGTGACTTTGTCTGTCCATGGTACCTTCAGGATTCTTCTGTATAACCATAATTCAAACGCCTGAAGTTTTGATAAAGTTTCCGCCTTCAACGTCCACGTTTCTACTCCATACAGAAGCACTGAGTACACGTAACATTTAAGGAGCCTTATTTTTGTTTTCAGGGTGAGGTCATGGCTTTTGAACACAGAGCTCATAGTTAAGAATGCACTTTTGGCCTTTCCGATGCTACATTTAATCTCTTGGGTATTGTCCCCGACACTCAAAGAAAGGCAGAATTTACAAAACAGTCATCAGACCAATAATGACATACGCGGCAGAAACAAGACCTGACACAAAGAGTACAACAAGGATGTTAGAAACAGCAGAGATGAAATTACTTAGAAAAATTGATGGTAAGAGTAAAACACTATAGGACAGAGCTAGAAGTACAAATATACGACGTAGATGCGAGGTACAGAACATAGTAACAAATATAGGGAATAACAAATAGAGTAGTAAAGACGGCATGAAACGGTTTCCTATAGGAAGGCGCTCAGTAGGAATACCACGAAAACGATGGAACGACAACGGACTGGAGGAGGAAGATCTGAAAAACAGATAGAGTCATGTTTATATAAAAAGAAGAAGAAAACGATCAATAAAAGACAAGATCAGAAACGAAGTTTTATGAAACAGAACCAGAGTTACAGATATTGTGGAGAGATATTGCAGATTGAAATGGAGATGGGCTGGCCACGTAATAAGGGTGAAAAATGAACGATTGACACGCAAGTTATCCAAATAGAAACAAAGCGCAGATACATAAGCAATAAATGACCACCTGCATGATGGCAAGATGATCTGCGATAACTGATGAAAAATTGGATCCATTACGTACAAGAACGTGCACAAGCAGGAGAAGCCAATATCCTTAAATGGGCTGCTAATAATGATGATCAAAGTCACAAAGGTCAATGGAGCAATGCATGCAAGGTATAACAAAGAGAGATCGAAAAAGAATAGAATGGATCAGACAGAAAACCAAGGTTATTGATGTAATCCATAGAATTAAATCTTTAAAATGGAAGTGATCAGGACATTTAGCGAAAAGAACTGACAATAAGTGGTACACTAGAATTACACTGTGGTATCCAGGAGACGTCAGGACACCAAGAAGACGTCCAAATTTAAGATGAAACTATGATATAAGGAAACAAGCCGGTATAACATGGCACAGAAAAGCGAATTTAAGAAAATTATGGGCAGATATGAAAAATAAATGGGAGGCTACAACATAATCGCTAGAATACGCTGAGAATGATGATGATGATATATACTTACAAACCCACTTACATGTACTAAAATAACAAATACTAAAAATTAATGCCAATATACATAGATAAAATGCTTACCTGAGAACAAACAGACTGTTTGTGAGTCTTTTGTGAGACTGGCATAGGCTTTGCCGACACAACTTTCAATTTAGTCCTCGGTGCTGCCAATTTCTGCGATTCAGAAGTGAACAATTTTTTGACTAATGCGTTTTTACTAGATCTAATTACATTTATTTGCTCTTCGATGACAGTATCACGATTCTTGTCGAGAAAACCATCGCTTTCGTATTGTACTTTGTCAGCAAAATGATTGACTATAAAGGAAGACGTGCCAAAACGAGCTTTGGCAAAATGAGGGTACTTTGAACATTTCGTGTAAAGTTTTTCAGTCCATGAAGCGTCAGAACCTCTAGGCATCTAAAAATAAAAAGATCAATAAAATTTTTTGAATATATTTTTGTGAAAGCATTTTTTAAAACGTTCACTACGACGTGATTTTAACGTTCCCCACCAATATTGTTTAACACGAATGAAAAAACAATTTTTACAAAAATACAAAAATTTATTTTTTATACATCATAAAGTTTATTATAAAAAAAATGAATGCTTAATTTTGTAGCAAATAAATAAAAATTTCAAAAATATTTTAAATAGGTATTTAGGGTGGTCCGTTTTCTATGACGCTAAGTGTATTTAGTTTCTCCGACATAATAACGTCGATAAAGGGCTATGGACAGAAAAACCAAATATCAGAAACCATCAAGGTATAAATATATGTAAACTTTGATCATACCTAGTAGAAATTGATTTTAGATCAATAATATCAAATGTTAAAAGAAAAATAGGTAGTAAAACAGTAATGAACGATTTGGAAACACTTACAGATCCTTAAAAAAGCGGAAGAGTATGGAGAAAAACAAGACTTAAAACAAAGTAATGTAGAACGAAATGTTAACATACAACAGCATTGTAAGACATGCGAAAAAATCATAAAAGTAACAACTTCTGAGTTAATTGTGATGGTTAAGGGAAAAAAAAACGAATACTGGTTTCACGAAAAATATAATAAAATAACCAGAAGAAAAGAAAAAGCATGCCATAGGTACCGAAGATTTCAACAAAAAAAGAACAATAAAAAAATCACAAGAAGGTTATAAAATGGTGAGAAAAGAAGAGAAGTTATATAGATGAAACACAAAGGGAAATAAAGGAAGAGTAATGCAAGAACCAGAAACTCCCAACAACAGAACAGATACAATAAATTCTACCAGAAACTAATCATTATCAACTAGCACATACTTTTCCACTGTATGTGTACATAGTACACATATAGTCGCACTTTACCCACTTTAAAAAAATTTAAATCCGTTAACCAGGAGAGCCTGCAAAACTTTAAAAAGTTTACCAAAACAGATTTTCAGGCCAATTTTTTAAATTATACGTCGTTCCAAATAAAAATACATTTTCAAATTTCATAAATTAATAAAAACTTAAAATACGACTTTACCTTACATTCTTCATCTAGTAAATCCAATATTCCTAATTTAGCTTCAATTAGGTCTATACATGGTTGATTATCATAAAACTCAATCATTTTCCACTCTATTCCTTCTCTGATATATTCCTCTTGTTCCAATTTAAACACATGCAAATTAAACTGCTGCTGCAATTTCTCGTTTGCATAGTTTATACAAAACTGCTCAAAAGAGTTAATTTCAAAAGTTTCAAAACCGTAGATATCCAGAACACCAACAAACCTATGTCTGGGTATTTCTGATTCAAGGGTCCGATTAATCATCAGTACTACCCAATTAAAGAGTTCCGAATAGATATGTTTTGCCAGAGCATCTCTGGATGCTATTGCATCCTGGACAGACATTGGTTTAAGAAAGATATCTTGCATTGAGATCAATTTTTTCGTACACAGCCACTGTTCCATTTCTTCTTCATTTATTTCAAGTAGGTTTGTTACAGTTTTTAAATGTTTATCATTTGGCTAAAATAAAAAAAAACAGTTAAATAGATGTTATTGTAGTAAAATATAACAAAAGGTATTTCCAAACAGTTAATTTAGTAATTGCTAATTACTTAGTTAATTTTGGACTGAGTATCTGTAATAGCGTTATATTAGTAATATTGTAATATCGTTCTGTACTAAGCATGCAGTTAATTTTTCATTGAAATATTGCAATTTAGACATTACAATGTTTACAACAGAATAAGCAAAAAATGCGAGGATAACATTGAAAATTCGCAGTTTGGGTTTCGGAATTCTCTTGTAACAAGAGAAGCACTTTTTAGTCTACAGGTACTCATCCAGCGCTGCAGAGATATGAACAAAGACGTGTACATATGCTTTATAGGCTACGCAAAAGCATTCGATAACGTAAAGCACGAAAAGATAATTGAAGTTCTCCATAAGATCGGAGTCGACTACAGAGACATTCGAACAATAGCGAGTCTCTATTGGGGTCAAACAGCTAAAGTGAAAGTAGGATCTACATCGACCAATAAAATTGAGATCAAGAAAGGGATACGACAGGGCTGTATCTTGTCTCCTATTCTCTTTAATATATACTCAGAAGAAGTATTTAAGACAGCGCTGGAGGAAAGCACAGAAGGCATAGAGATTAATGGAGAAATAATTAATAACATAAGGTATGCTGATGACACTGTGATTCTAGCAAGTAGCATGGAGGAACTGAGTTGCCTAATGAGTAAGATACAAAAAACAAGTGCACAATACGGACTCAGACTAAATATCACAAATACCAATTGGATGTTAGTAAGCAAAACCCAACAACCACCACAGCAACTGATATTAGACAATGAAAGAATTGAACACGTGGATTCGTACATCTACTTGGGAACAACAGTTAACTCAAATTGGGATCAAGCGAAGGAAATTCGCTTGATCCCAATTCAGATACTGACAAATACATTCTTTGTCAGTATCTGGAGGGATAATGACAAAGACATTATCCCTCCAAAAACTGACAAAGAATGTAGCGTAGAATCTTTAAGTAATTTTAAACTGTTTGTCCTCGTTTTAGTGTAGTGTTTGTACAATTTTATGTCATTATTAATGTTTCCACATTCTACGCTTGCCGGATAGTTTACATTTTGACGAAATGCCCCTGAGATGCTATTTTAGGCGAAAGTATTTGGGCTAGATTTAATTAACTTGTGCTCGATAATAGCCTTATTTTTCAAAGTTTAATTAAATAATTATTGTCAGTTATCATGAGTTTTAAAGTTCATACCCTAATCATGCATCCTTCTTGATCCTGCTCATTCTCCACTTTAATAATGCTATCCACGAACTCAATGTTACCAATATGGAGAATAGAAGCAATAATTTTAAACATATTTTCTTGTTCCTTCTCTGAAAATCCCAGTAAATTTAGAGCATCGACGGTTTCTTCGAAATTACGTAAATCATCCACTCCTGCTACGTTAGGACTCTTTCCCTGGTTTAAATAGTGGAATTTGCTTTGGTGATCTGAAACATATTTTCATTTTTAACTGTAGTATCCGGTATCCGGTAATATATCCAGTAGTATTATTGCTATTACCTTAACAATTACCTATGTAATATGTATGATATATTTTTTATTTTTAAAGAATGTATACAAATAATAAAACATAAAAGCATGTTTTTATAAATAAAGCTAAATAAAATTGTAAACTATTTTGAAAATAAAATACAGTAAAATATCTTTTATCCGACTATCCGACACTATTAATAACCAGAGGGTGTCGGAATACTGAAATATTCCGATTACTGGATTGTATAGACAAATTTATAAAAAAAAATTAAAAATTAATTAAAAATTTTTTAGAAAAAAAAGCCTTTCCTAAAATTAATAAATTTAACGTATATATCTGTGTTCATGTTCTAGACGTTTTTTATAACTGTAAAATATTTCACATTTAAGGCCAGATGTCCCCAAACAATTTTCAAAAAATCAAAATGTTTTTTTTTTTTGAAAATTGCTAGGAAATATTTTAAGGAAAAGTATAGAATTTATAGAGTTTATAAATCAATATAAGGTTGAATGTTCGAATAAATGAACTTTGATGGTACACAAGGCAAATATCGAACACAGTATTTAATTAAATCTTGCCCAAGTACTTTCGATCACAAGATCATCCTCAGGGGCATTTCGTCAATTGTGGCCTATCCAGCAATAACCGAATGTCATACATTTTATATTATAGAAGCCGGAGACCGGCTTCTATAATATAAAAATGTAGCTTCTCCAATTTAAATTTTAAAGTGTTTGTTTGTCTTTAGTGTATTTGTTATGTCCCAGTTTACATGTATGACATTCCATTATTGCTGGATAGGCCACAATTGACGAAATGCCCCTGAGGATGATCTTGTGATCGAAAGTACTTGGGCAAGATTTAATTAAATACTGTGTTCGATATTTGCCTTGTGTACCATCAAAGTTTATAGAGTTAACTTTAATGGCCTTTTTTCGAAGCCACGTTTTTTTCAACTGGGTGTTACTCATACTTTGAAACTATTGCATTGATTATGTTAAAAGTTAATAATAAACAAGATAATTCAATAACTATTTTCTCCTTTAACTCGAAAAATATCGTTCGTTCGAAAATAATTTCAAAAAAGAAATTATAGGAAATTGCATTTTCAACAATATCAGTTCTTACCATTTTGGAAATTCTTTCAAAAAGTTGAAAATAGCAGAGATAGTTAGCAAAAACTGTTTACCTTTAAATTGAAGATGGCAGCTAACGCAGCAGCAGTATTCAGTGGCGATTTTTAATTTACCCTACTATTGAAACCACTCCTAAAGGTTGTAACAATAAAATTTATGGTAGCTCGAAATTCAAGGTCAAATCACAACTCGACTGGTCTTTCAGTGGCAATTTTTTCTCTTATTTCTTTTGATAGATCATTCATTGTAGGACTTAGCTAGTGCCATAATGTTTGAATTAAGTAAGGTAAGCTCCATGCTTGAGCTAGAGGGAATACATCCTGTAAATTAAATTTTTTTCTGTTCCGCGTTTTGTTATCATCCTGACAAATAATATAGATAATCAATTGTATTTTTATACAAGGACTTTCTTTTTAGATAACATTTTAATCCATCGGCTGCAATAAAGGTGTGCAGTTTGGTAGTAGAAAGCTGGTTTGGATATTCCTATCACGTGATTGAAGTTCTTGTTCATTTGTGTGGATTTAATGTATTGTCAATTATAAATAAAGCTTTTGTGGGCAAGTTGGGTCTGTTCATAAACTGCTTCACTTCTGAGAAAAAGACTTTATGGATCCATTCACGGGATTTTTTTTCCTTATGACCTAGTCTTATGTGTCTAAAAAAAACATTCTGGTCTGCATTATAGATTTGGTCAGGAAGTAAACGCAACTCTATTTTCTCATTAAAATACTGGATAAATGGCTGCACAGCAGATTTGTCGTTTGTCACCCGATTTTCGCCCGATACTTACTAGTACAAAAATGACCTTTTTTTAATTTTTTAAATTAAATTCTATCTATTTTGCTTACAGAATTTTTCCAGTTACAGGAGTCTTTTTTTAGAACGCTCTTGCGTTAATTACATGTAGAAAGTATTTTTTGTCTTTAGACATTCACCAACTGTTGTTTTACAATTTCCTGGTACAGATTCCATTGTCTTCACGTTATGCAATATCTCTTATTTCTCTTTATTAAAATCGTGCGTAGTAGCACGCTTGTAACTCTATATTCTTATGCCGATTTGCATATGTTTTTTCCACTATCTAATTTCTGTTTGAAAATAGATTTTGACGAATATTATTTCTAATTAAATATAATAAGTTAGAAAAAAAATTAAAGTCGGTTCACAATTTGTCGATAGCTCACTACAAGTTTAACCCTACTTAGAGAACTGAAATATAGAGAGGATAGGTAATACAATATAATAGTAAAAACCAACCTGTAACTGACGGTTTAAGATGTTTTCGACTAACCCAGCTTGTATTTGAAGGAATACAATACAGCAATCAACTTTATAACCAGATTACGAAGGTATTTTGATTACAGATGACCGACCAGTGTCGTAGACTATATGATTCAAACATTTATTTGAAGTAAATAAATATATTTTTTAAATTGTACTTATATCAGTTAAAATTGTATTTAATTAGTCGCATAAAGAAAAATATAAAAACTATTAAAGTAAACATACTATTAAAAAAACATTTCTGATCTTAGTTCCTATTTACAAAATCTTATGCCACTCTTATGCATTTACCGCTGTATTTTTGTTTATTTTATTAACAAAATTCAAATTATAAACAAAACTTCTTTATTTTATTCTAAAATAAAAAAATTCTTGCTATTTGTAAAAGATACATTTATTTAATTAAGGGAAAAAGCGACAAATGTCGCCTGGCAAAATTTTCAATGTGTTTTAAATGTATCCATTATTTTCGAATCCGGAGAAAACTAATAAATATTTTTGAAAAATTTAAACGCAGAACGAAAAATATGTTATTTAACAGGGGTGAAAATAAAAGAGAAAAATAGTATAATTTTTAATTGAAAATATTGCATGCAAATGAAACTTTTTATTTATTCTAATAAATATTTCATTCTGCCTCTAAATTTTTCAAAAATGCTTTTTAGTTTTCTCAGGATTTGAAAAAAAAAATGGATACATTTAGAACATATTGAACATTTTGACAGGCGACATTTAGTGCCTTTCGCTTTTAATACCTTACGATTACAACTACTAATACTTACCTTATCTAATTACGATTAGAAAACTATTCAAATTCAAAATAAATAGGATCAACTTCGGAATCCGAGTCCTCTTGAGGGTTAATAATTAGCGGTTGTGTCTCTACGGTCGTATTAATATGTTATCAATATCCCACATTTTTTGTTCTTCTTCTATTACATGTCTTACTGCATATTTCCAGTTTTATTCTGTAATATGTTGTAAAGACTCATATAAAAATTCACGTACAGCTTTTATTTTATATGACGTATTTTTTCTAGCCACATAACTTTTTATTTTTACCCAAATGAGTTCCATTGGATTTATTTCGCAGTGTTGGGGAGAAGTCTAAGGACTGTGATGTTTCGCCTTTTCGCCATTTTATTAACTACGTATTTTTTGAACTTAGATTTGTGTTGCCGGGCAATTTTTAAAAGTTCTGCTTTTACCATTCCATCTTCGTAAGGCAGATACTTATTCTCCGCAGCCAGTCACGAATATCCTGTTTCTTCCACGCAGCCGTTGGAAGTCTTTCTACTAGTCGTGAATGATAAGGTGCATATATCTAATACTATAATTAAATTTGGTGGTATGTGTTCAATAATCTGCTCAAAATACTCTTCGAAAACATCAACTGTCATCTCCTCGGGATAGTCTTTTGTGCTTTTGGACTTAAATTCCAACAAACCATGCTTAACAAATATTTTTTTATTGCCAATGTGAGAAATTATTAGTCTACTGCCTTTACCAGAAAGTGGGGAGATACCAGTAGACCAACCTTCCATTAAGGCTTGCCTAGAGCTTAATATATTTTTATCTGACCAAATTTTTTTTAGAGTATAACCTGAGTTCACCCACGTTTCATCCTGGTAGAAAATTGGCCTTACTTCAGCCCGCAAGATAATTTCTTCTCCAACATATTATCTTCTCCCGGTCAATCAAAAGTGATTTTCGGTCGGATTTCTCCCACCGGAAATTTAATTCTTTTAAAACTTGCCACAATTTAGTTCGGCCGATATGACGCAAATCCGCATCGGCTCTAACTTCTTGCAAAATTTTGTTTAGGTTTGGTATTTTTTTTTTAAATCCATGAATTTTCTTTCGAATACCATTTTTGACAAATTCATCAATTTCAATAGGCTTTTTCCCTCTCTTTAAGTGTTCGTTTGTGTTTGGGTTAGCTATACCGTGTTTTTTTCTGATAGGAACCTATATATAGTTAACTCCCCTACTCCAGTCATGTTAGCACAACCTTTCGACTATGTTGACAGACTTACTGACTGTACGCAACAGTACTGGTGTAAAACTTGATGATGTTGATGATGAAGTCATCACAAACAATCCAACAAAACGAGCACGAGCGAAAGGTACGTATATGTTCGTAGGTAGATGGAATAAAAAATCACTCACGCACTGTATATAATTCGCAAAAGAAATATTCGAGACGCTAATTAAGGCCGCAGACGCGGAAACACCGACGAGCCGTAAATTACATGCGACCAAAAACGTACTAAACATAAAAAATTGTTTTCGTTTGTAATAACATCACCCTTTTAAGTTAAGTTTCGAATATAAACTGAACAGACGAGGAACGTGGCCAAAGTTAACATCTTTATACCCATTATATTATTAAAAATCTGGGGAATTCCATCCTAATTATCTTGCAACGAATAGTACCTTCGGATATGAATTCCAGGTTTTCTAGTGAAGTGATTGAACGCGAAGATTAGCATTGAAATATCCAAAGAGATAAGGTATTCTTATTTACAAAATTGTTAATGGTTAAATTCTTATTTTTATTAATATAATATAATAACCAACATTAGCCGTGAAAGTTTTATTTGTTTTTTGCTAAATATATTAGTATTAAAACATTAATATTGATAATGAATAAACACTTCAGGAACGCCTATGATGATACCAATTTTACGACCGTTTTATGACTTTGAGGCACATTTCGTGCCATCAACAATTTGTGAACGGAATATAAGTACATATCATACCTAGATTTAATTGAGGTAACTGTTTTGCAGCCGAACATAGTTGATAAAATATATGGTAATTTCTTTCTTCTGGAGCTTGAAACACAACTCTACTTTTTTCCAGTAAATATGTTCGCATTGAGGCACCACTGATGTGAAATTGTTTGCTAAACTGAAGTTCTATGAATTTTCCAAACCTCGAACTGTTGTCGTTTCTGGTGGTTTTGGCGTTACCTATAGCCTATAAAAAATAAAAAGTTTAATACATATATGAGAATTGAAACTGTTTTAAAAGTGAATGTTTGTTTAAGATAATTACTTATGATGCCCAAAACTAGTTAAAAAAGCAGTTAAAATGGTATGGTCATGGATGGTATCTGTGATCAATGAACAAACAAAGAATACATTAAACATTTGGAACTGAACATCAAAATGAAAAAATATTCAAAGAAAGCCAGGAAAAATTGATCTTATTCAAATAAAAATTGAAAATCGAAGACATTAATAAAAAGACTTTAATAGGTATGAGAGAAGTGGCAAAATAAAAGCATAAACTATTTTTTTTGTAACATAGCACAAAATTACGGCAAACCCATCAATTACTTGAACAGTATCAAAATATTCTCCATTTCTTTCCCTCTTTTTCTAATATTAGCTTTTCTTTTTCAATATTTATTATTTTTAGACTCATTTGTATAAATTTCCGTAAATAATTTAGAATAATTTATCCTTTACTAGAAAATGTTTATTTTTATGACACATTACAATATTTAAAGTAAGCCATAAAACAGATAACACATTTTTGAAATAATAGATTTTAGTTGACGGGCGAGCAAGGTCAACGTGGCCTTTTCAATTCTGATGGGTCCACCCAAGTTTTTTTATCAAATTGTGGCTGCTGATTACGAATTTCGATGGTGGATTTTGATCCGAGTGGTGAAACAATTGTTAAACAAATTTAATTGTTTATATGGCTCTAGCTCGTAAACTAAAAGAGGAAGAAATTTTTTTTCAACTAAAATTTGTCCCTTGAAAAAACAAAGAAAATGGCGTTTCCTTAACTTTAATCAAATAATTAGAACTCGAGATATTGTATGTGAATTTGAATATTGTATTTGTAAAATTAGTGCAAAATGTTACAAATTGAAAATTTTTTTATGCTTTTGCGATCGTAACTTGGCTTCTACGCATTCACATGATATTCACAAAGCCACTTTTCAACTCGATCGCTACAAGAGACACCCACAATTTCCTGCTGGACTGCAGTCTCAAATATGAGCCATTAGCAATATTACTAGAAAAAAATATTCTATTTTATATATTATATATTCTATTATAGCATAATATAGATATTTAATTTTATTCGATTTCGGTTGTACCCGTCTACTGTAAAGGTTTCATATTTTTCAGTAGTCTATGGTAAGGTCTGGCTAGTTATTGTGTCGAATTTTATTTCAGATTTTCTGAAATATGTTACGACGGCTTAACTCAAAAATAGCTTCAAGAAGAAGCTGATAAAATAATGGCTAAAAACAGCGATGAAGTTTTAGTATGTACTTCTGAGGAAATACCGGAAGCTTACTCGGATTCAGGAAGTAGTTATGCACCTTCATTACCAAATAGCTAAAGCGCTGAAGACGTCAACTCGTCTGATAAAATTGTAAATAATGAAGATACTGCTGAAGAAGATGTTGAGGAGGAAGTCGAGAGAAATCCTGATGGTGGTCCAAATGAAAACGACGACGAGTGGGTATATCAACAGTGAACCCACATTATTTAAATTTGCAGAGCAAGCTGGTATACAAATTAACATCCCAACCACAGGTACTGCAGAAGAAATATTTGCATTAATATTTGACCAATAATTATAGGAACAAATATGCAAGTGGATAAATTTAAGTGCCGAAATATTCACCGTAATTTGACAAGGTATTCGACAATGTAGGAACAGAAACTTGTACCCTAAAAAATTGCTGGTTTGACGATGAATGCAAAGACCCAACACAGAAAAAAAAATGAAGCTTATGCAAAAATGTTTACCCGCCGGACTAGAACAAGTGTAGAGAATTACCAGACAAAGAGAAGAGAAGAAAAGAAAATACACAAAATAAAGAAACGAATCCACTTAAAAAAGGAACTTCAATATATAGAAAACCTCAACAGAGAGAAAGAATTCAGAACATTCTATAAGAAAGTTAACATTAACAGAAAATTTATCAAGGCAAACACACATCAATGTAGAAGTTTCAATGGCGATCTATTAACAACAAGAACAGACGTACTAAATCGATGGACGGAATATTTTAACCAGATACTTAATATAGAGGAAGAAGAAGAAAACCCGGAAGACGAAAGCTGTGAGGTAAGCGGAGCAGACGAGAGGAAGGAGAATCCACCAACGATCCTGGAAGTTAAAGACGCTGTAAAAAAACTAGCCAGAAACAAATCACCCGGAATAGATAATCTTCCAGAGGAATTATATAAAGAAGGTGGCCACGATATCATAATAGCGCTACAGCAGCTTATAAAAGAAATATGGATACAGAAGTCCCTCCCGAATGATTGAAATATTGGAATACTTTGCACCAAACACAAAAAGGGAGATATCTTTGAATGCTCTAAATATCGAGGAATTACGCTCCTAAATGCAGCGTATAAAATATTCTTTAATATACTATGCCATCGTATGGCACCGTATGCAGAGCAAATAATAGGACAATACCAGGCTGGTTTTAGAGGTGGTAAATCAACAATTCATCAGATTTCAACCCTGAGACAAATTCTAAAGAAAACACTGGAATACAGTGTAGACACGCACCACATATTTATAGACTACAAGGCAGTCTACGACTCTGTAGGTTTCAATCAGTTGGTAAGTCTAACCAAACTAACCCTTGAAAAAGTTGAATGCAGAGTACGAATCCAGGGGGAACTCTCTGAACCTTTTAATACAAATAACGGGCTACGTCAGGGAGACCCACTCTCCTGTATACTATTCAATCTAGCTCTGGAAAAAAGTAATACGTACGTCACAAATCACAACTACCGGTTCAATATAAAACAAATCTGTGCAAATCCTAGCATATGCTGATGATATCAATATTATTGGGAGAACGGAAAACGCAGCACGAGAGGCGTATGTAGCACTAAAGGAAGCGGCTACAAAAATGGGTTTAATAATAAACATTAACAAAACGAAATACATGAAAGTAGGTCCGCAACATAAAAAATAGCGATAGAAATCTTATCTCGGAGCCATCAACGATCTTAAAAACATGGAAATCATACATAGAAAAATTATTTGCATCTGACAGGACTGATGATCACCTATATGGAGAAGGAAAAACAGGACCTTCAATCCTTAAATCGGAGATAGAAGATGCCATTGTAGCACTAAAAAACAATAAGTCAGCAGGTCCGGACAATATACCCTGCGAAATATTAAATATCCTATGTAAATCAGATAAACAGTTCCTTGATAATCTATTTGTACTTTTTAACAACATATATAATAGCGGTAAAATCCCGGAGAACTGGCTGCAGTCAACATTTCTTACAATCCCGAAGAAACCAAATGCCCAGATTTGTGATGACTACCGGCTTATAAGCTTGATCAATCATGTTACTAAGATCATTCATAGAAGAATATATGATACATGTGAGTCAAATATTGATAGATCGCAGTTTTCGGATTTTGGTTTTCGGAAAGCACTTGGAACTAGAGAAGCAATTTTCGCTCTCCAGGTGCTTATACAGCGGTGTAGAGACGTTGATAAGGACGTGTATTTGTGCTTTGTAGATTTTAGAAAAGCATTTGACAATGTCAATCATGAACAATTGATAGGTATTCTGCGAAAGACAGGTATTGACGACAACGACATTCGAATTGTGGCAAACTTATACTGGGCTCAAACAGCAAGAGCAAAAATTAGCAACGAACTCACTGAAAGCGTGCAGATCAAAAGAGGTGTCCGTCAGGGGTGTATATTATCCCCACTCCTATTCAATATGTATTCCGAGGAAATATTTAAGAAATGTATGGAAAACGCAAATGAGGGCATAAAAATAAACGGTGAGTTAATGAACAATATAAGATATGCCGACGACACGGTGATCCTTGCAGTACCATAGACGAATTACAACAGGTAATGGAAAGACTTTATTCAGTTAGTGAGGAATACGGCCTGAGCCTCAACTTCAAGAAGACAAAGTGAATGCTGATAAGCAAGAAGCAACAACCTGCTCGACAATTACGGATAAGTAACATACTAATTGACCATGTAGAATCTTATGTGTACCTTGGCACCAACGTAAATGCAAAAAGGGAACAGACCATAGAAATTAAGGCGAGAATAGAACGAGCTGGAGCAGCATTTAGCAATATGAAAAAGCTCTTCATAAGCAAGGATTTGTCTCTTCCCCTAAAACTACGTATAGTTAAATGCTACATTTTTCCGATCTTGCTGTATGGCGTGGAGGCCTGCACGCTGACGGAGACGCTAACGAGAAAACTAGAAGCATTCGAAATGTGGATGTACCGACGCATTCTTCGTATATCCTGGACCGAACATGTCACCAACATAGAGGTACTCCAAAGAATCGGAAAGGAGAAAGAAATCGTGAATACAATTAAACAAAGAAAGCTTGAATATCTAGGCCACATATTGAGACACGATAAGTACCGTCTGCTACAATTGATTGTTCAGGGAAAATAGACAGTAAGCGAGGGCCAGGCAGGAGAAGACACTCGTGGCTCCAAAATCTGCGGAAGTGGTTCGGGCTCACATCGGTCGACCTATTCAGAAGCGCCTCAAACAAGATCAAAATTGCCATGTTAATAGCCAACGTTCGCAACGGACAGGGCACTTGAAGAAGAAGAAGGTCCGCAACCACAAATACGACGGCCACTTGTAATAGAAAATGACGTCATCGAAGCAGTTAACGAATTTGTATACCTGGGAACGCTCGTCAATACTGAAAATGACAGCGCAGAGATAAACTGTAGAATTTGTACGGCTGGTAGATGCTATTTTGGGCTTAATCTCCTTTTTATATCTACAGCTATATCAAGAAATACAAAAGTAAAACTCTACAAAATAATAATACGCCCAGTCGTAACATATGTTTCAGAAACCTGGACTTTAACAAAAAGCAATGAAAATATGTTAGGATGTTTCGTAAGAAAAATACTGAGGCGAATCTATGGAGCGGTAAATGAAAATGGTGTCTGGAGAAGACAATACAACTTCGAACTCTATAGAATATACCAGGAACCAGATATCCTAAAACACATTAAAATAGGACGTCTGAGGTGGGTAGGCCATGTAATGCGGATGGAACAAACCGACCCACCTAGAAAAATGCTCCTTGATATACCTGTTGGTCAAAGAAGAAGAGGAAGACCCAGAACAAGATTCCAAGATAACATAGACCAAGATATGAGAAATATGGAAATACGTGCTTGGCGGAGGAAGGCGATGGATAGGGACGACTGGAAGAGAATTCTTGGGGAGGCTAGGACCCACACAGGGTTGTAAAGCCAAAATGATGATGATGATTCGACAATGCAACATTTGACACCAGTCGATACTAATGAGCTGTGTACATTTCTTGGTTTCTGCATACTAATGGGTAACATTAGTATGACCAGCAATAAAAATTATTGGAGTACAAATGTTGGATACCTTTATCCACTTTTTGGAAATTCAATGTCTAGAAATCGCTTCGAATCTATCCTTAGATGTCTGTGTTTTTTTAAAGAAGCTGATGACCAAACTTCACGTTTACATAAAATTTCACAGGTGTTGAATCACATGACCTAAAATATAAAGAGTATTTTTAATCCCGATGCTAATCTCTCACTGGATGAAACATTATTACTTGGGTGTGGAAGAGTTCTATTTTGTCAGTAGATTCCAAATAAAAGTGCCAAATACGGAATTAAATTATACGAACTCTTCACTTCAGATGGATTTGTGCTGGAAATTCTAATTTATTCGGGCAAAGGAACAGTTTCTCAAGAGACTAGTCACGCTCAATCGGTAGTAACGAAACTAGCAGGACGTTATCTAGGCAAAGGACATACGTTGTTCCATGATAACTATTACAACAGTGTAAGTTTGAATGAATATTTATATGAACAAAAAACACACATTGTTGGAACGTTACGGAAAGATTGTAAGGGAAATCACAAATCAGTTATAACTACTAAATTAAGAAAATGACAAAGTATGTTTCGCAAAAAGCAAAATGTAGTTTTGATAAAGTGGAAATATAAGCGTAACGTGTTACTAATATCGACAAAACATAACGCTGCTTCTAGTAAAATCACTAATAAGAGAGGTGTTGAACTAGAGAAACCAAATGTTATACAAATCTATAACAAAAATATGTCGGGCATAGAACGAAGTGACCAAATGGTGTCGTACCACACAACGCCCCGGAAAACAATCCGTTGGTGCCTGAAAATGTTTTTCCACTTATTGGATGTTTGCACTTGGAATAGCACGTACTATATAATAAAGTGCAAAGAAAAAAAAATACTTATTTGAAGTGTAGAGAGTTGCTTGTATTTCAATTTTTAAAAACAAACACAAACACACGTGCTCCATCACTAAAAAAAACGACATATATCGAAAAGCCACCTTATTAAAAGAAGATGGAGAAAAGAAAAAGATGTCGTGTTTGCTCTTCAAAAAAAAAGAGAACTCAAACGTACTGTTACGATAACTATTTCGTTTAAAACCATAAATATATTATGACTAATTCTGTTCTTTTGTTCCAGTCGATTCGAAGTTGTTTACAGAAATATCTAGACCCCAATTTTAGTGAGTCATCCACGACTCGAAGTTGAAAAAGAGAACTAGTCTCAGCGGTTAATTGCCTTCACCGAAAAAACCAGTATATTCCATGGGGTTCCGTGCAAAAGAAGGTCACCGAACTTTCCAGATAGCGGAAGTTTTTTTATATAAAGACGAAATTTTATTGAATAACTTAGTCATAAGAAGCTCGGGAACCGCGATTTTAAAATGTATCGAACCTAACATAAATTTGTACAGTTATTTAATAAATTAGTAATTAGCTATCGTGAGTTTTAATAAACTAGAATATAGACAATAAATTAGAATAAAGACAAATAAATTAGAACTATATAAATATACTACAGTACTTTTTTTGTGCAAACTGTAAGGGCAAATATGGAGAAACTGTTGGACTTTGTGTAGACCCTTGTTTTCGTGAATATCACGAATCGAAGATATAATTTATTTTTAACGTTATACTGTTTTGTAACAACAGAAATTAGAAATAAAAAAAAATCAGTCAAAATTATTATTCTTAGAGTGGCTCATTAGTGAGACACATGGTATATCAAAGAAAAATTCATATAATAGACCAGTGTCTCATATATGAGTCGCGTTCAAAAATCCTTTCAAAATTTTTTTTCTGTATCTGATATTTACTACATTGATTCACTTAATCAATATATGTGAAAGAAAGTATTCAATCAGTGCATTTTACCAGTTATCACATATGGCTCACATACATGGACTTTCACAAAGGAGAACATCGACAGGATATCCAAAACACAAAGAGCAGTGGAAAGACAGATGCTAGGTATCGGTCTTAAAGACAGGAAGATAAACTCACGGATCAGAGAAAAAACAAAGGTGAACAATGTATCAAGACAGGTTGCTAAACTTAAATGGAACTTCGCAGGTCACACTCTCCGGCAAAAAGATGAAAGATGGAATAAGCGAATTCTACACTGGAGACCATGAGAAAAGAAAAGAAAAAGAGGAAGACCACAGATGAGATGGACTGACGACCATAAGAGAACGGCAGGAAAGGACTGGATACAGATCGCCCAAAATAGAGACCAATGGAGATTAACAGGGGAGGCCTATGCCCAAGAGTGGGTGTTTAAGGCTGATTAGATAGATAAATAGATTTCCCCATCATATAGCTATCAAATTCTTGGTTTGTCTCAGAAGCCTTTCTTCTTCTGTCTTGGCAGCCCTAACAAAAAGTCACAGATCCCTCAATGTATACATAGGACCAACCAACAGATGGCAAAAAACAAAAAAGTTTGTGAAACATTGAATATGTTATGCAGTAGTCATACAAAACATTGTACTATAGCAAAATATTTAGAAATGCGTTCAAGAAAGTTTCAATAAGAAAATTCCATTTAAAAAAATAACAATGAAATTAGAGAATAGCAGAAATGAGTATACCTAAATGCATGAGTTACCTAAAAATCCCTATCTGGGAACATCTATATCTGGCAGTAATCGATGCCAAAATGCGAGCAAATAATATTACTGTTACAGTACATATGGTAAAAATACATGCAGGTCTTTAGATAAGGAATGAAATATTAGAAGCATGTGTAAAAAATTCTAACCTCCATTATGGGACTGCTCGCTAAAACCTTCTTCTCTACTTGAGTTTCTGTGGCACTACCGCCCACTGTCGCAAAGTACCTCATGGTATATTTAGCTGATACCGTTTTACCAGCACCACTTTCTCCAGAAACTATAATACTTTGATCCCTTTGTTCCCGTTCCAATTTGGTATAAGCTTCTTCAGCAACGGCGAATACGTGGGGATCGAGATTACCCAAACTTTGGCCCCTATATGTTTGTATTGTATCGGTATCTGTAAATAAATATATTATCTTTAATAAATAAATATATATAAATATATATATATATATATATATATATATATATATATATATATATATATATATATATATATATAGAGGAAAGTAGCCTAATTTCGGATAGTGTCTTAATTTCGGATAGCGGTGTATCTAAAAAAGTTTCTTCTGAATACCACAGAGAACATTATCTTAAATTGTTTAGGTAGTAGAGCTGCTCCCCGTCAGATGGCAGTGCCGAAACCACCAAACGTTATTGTGCAGTTTTTTTTCGGTCGTATTTCAAAGCCTATTTTTTCGTGTTTTTATTCCTGTTTGAATTTTGATCTTTTGGCAGGGTAAGCTAGAAACCTGTTTTATTTGATTCTGCTACTAATTTAAAGCAGATTTTAATCACATATAAATTAGAGAGCCCTAACCTTAAAAATAAAAAATTCCTAATTTCGGATAGTACAAGTCCCATAATTTCGGATATCCGAAATTAGGAACCTTAAATTGATGATCATGTTAGCATAAAAACTTTTGTTTCTTTTTAGAAGAAAATGCCAAAAACAAGTAAAAAACATAAACAATGGGATCCAGACCGAATGATACGTGCTATCCGTGCCGTCAGGGGAAAGGAAATGGGGTATCTTAAAGCCTCGAAGTTATTTGCTGTTCCGAAATCAACTCTGGAAGATTATGTTAAGCAAGAAAATAAAACTCCGGAGCAGTTGGTTGCTGTTAAAATTGGAAGAAGACCAGTAATTTCTGCAGAAATGGAAGCAGATTTAGTCTCGTATTGCCTAGAAATGAACCGGCGATTTTACGGAATTGGGACCGCTGATATCAAGAGACTTGCATATCAAATAGCTTTACGAAATGGTCTTCGTCATCCATTTGTCCATGCCGAATCTGCCGGTAAAAAATGGTTAAGGGGATTTATGAGGCGAAACGCAGTCCAAGAAAACTCGTGTTATAACATTAAAAGGAAAAAAACAGGTTGGATCTGTTACCGCGACTGAAAGAGGCGCATTAGTTACTGTTGTATTTTGTATGAATGCTGCTGGTGGGTTTGTCCCTCCATTATTCGTGTTTCCAAGAAAGAACATGAAAGTGGAATTATTAGATGGATCGCCGCCTGGCTCTATTGCAGCTTGCCATCCATCAGGTTGGATTCAGCAGCACATTTTTTCCCAATGGCTACAGCATTTCGTAGCTCACGTGAAACCATCCCGTGAAGACCCAGTGCTGCTTATTCTTGATGGTCACTACAGCCACACAAGAAATATAGATGTGATAGAAGCAGGACGTGCAAATTTCATTACAATTTTGTGTATCCCGCCGCACAGTTCACACAAACTACAACCTCTAGATTTGTCTTTTATGTCACCATTTAAAACATATTATTCGCAACAAATTGAGATGTGGTTAAGGCAAAATCCTGGACGCACCATAAACTCGTATCAAATTTGTAAGCTTATGTGCCCGGCATATTTGAAAAGTGCTACTGCAGAAATTTCCGCGAATGGTTTTCGCAAATCTGGAATATATCCTTTTAATAAAAATAACTTTTCTGATCACGATTTTATAATGGAGAGACAAAGAGAAAGAACACCACCACCCATAAATCAAAATCATGGGGAAGTATTACCAACAAGAGGTCAGTCAAGACCAGAACCACAAAGCATTATCGAAAGAACACCTCCAAAACATAACTTAACAAATAAATCATCCAATGGAAATGCAACTGAAACTACGGCAACTATGATAAGAGCTGAGGATATTAGTCCACTGCCTTCTTGCAGTTATACCTCACAAACAAACAAACAAAAAAATCCTCGAAAAGGTTCTAGTTGGATAATAACTAGTACACCTTATAAAGATGAACTTGAACGAAGTGTAGCCGAACAAGAAAGAAAAAAGTCTTTGAAAAAAAAGAAACCAAAAATAAGCAACGAATTAAATCAAGTCAACAGAAAAAAAACTCCACGCCAAAACAAGCAAAAGAAAAAAATTGAATCGAGTAGTAGTGACACTTCACATCCTGGTGATGACCTTATTTTGGATGATGATTCTGATATGGATGTAGACGATGAAGATGGAGACACAGAATGCATGTTTTGTGACAGTTTATATTCCGAAGATACACACGGTGAGAAGTGGATAAGGTGTATAAAGTGCTTCAAGTGGTGTCATGAGATGTGCGCCAATGCTGATAAGAAGAAAACCTATATTTGCGACTTTTGTCAAGATGTGTAACTATTCTTATGATGAACAAAATGGTGTCTTAATTTCGGATAGGGTATCCGAAATTAGGAGCCCTAAAATTTTTGACATACAAAAGCACTAATTTTATTGAACAATATTTTTTGTAAAAAAGATTTTCAATAAATTGTCTATGATAATAAAATTAGTTTCTATATTACTCTGCAAGTACTCTTGAGTAGATAAACGTTTTTTAAAATGTGTTATTAGGTGAAAAATATGACACTAATTGTAAATGGTATCCGAAATTAGGCTACTTTCCCTTATATATATATATATATATATATATATATATATAAATATATATAAATTATATATATATATATATATATATATATATATATATATATATAATTATATAAATATATATATATATATATAATTATATAAATATATAATAAATATATTATCTTTAATAAAATAAATAAATTATCTTTATTATAAATAATGTAAGTATACAAAAATTTGGGGAACTTATGGTCAAAAATATCTTCAGATTTTAAGTTTAGTTCTACACTACATCTTATGCACACTGCATTAACTCTCTAACTGGCAAGATTCTAAAAATTATTCTATTTAGTTGAGAAATTTAATAGGGTGTATACTAGTTCGCTCCCACGGTCAGATTTTAATAGCCTACAGAAAATGAAAAATCTAAGGCAATGGTATGGAAAATCAACTACATCGTTATTTAGAGCTGCTGTCAATAAAGTCACGATAGCGAATATGGTAGCCAACATGATATCCAACGATCGATAGCGGTCATGGAACTAGAAGAAGAAGACAGAAAATGAGCATAGGTAAATTCGCTCCAGCCATATATTTCTTAGAAAAGATGTTTGAATACTGTCTTCTCCAACTTTGTATTTACGTATTAATACAACACCACCATCATTGTTTAAAAAAAAATGAGTATTTTTTAAACAATGCTACTATATAACACTACTTCTTACTTAAAAAAATATTAAAATTATAACGATAATATCACTAAAGTATTATGATGTTAGAGCTCATATTCCCTTGTTCAATATTTGATTGGGTTTTTCCGTATCAGAAGTTGCAACTGATATATTTCTTTGAAAAGATTGGTAGCTAAATTAGTAGTCTACCTGAAATTTTATGATAAGAAATAGGGGTGGTGCGAATCTTAACATTATTACTTTAGTTTCAGTTTGAATGTCGTTATGCCTAGTTCATGATCTAGAAATATAAAGTAAGTGAAATGTTAAGTGAAAAGGGTAAGTCAATGTTAGTTTTCGAGAATAACAAGTATAACTTCCATAAAATGCTTGCTAATAATATCAAACGTTGGAAGTGTGTAGAAAGAGGTTGCAAAACATTTGCTAAACCTTTAAATATTTGTAACAGTGTATTCGAATGTAGTTATAACCATGCCCATCAATCAAAGTTTATCAAAAACAGTGTTAAACCGGCATAAATTAAGTAATAGTGTTAAGCGGAAGGCAATGGATGATTTGTGTGAAAAACCATTAAAGTTAATACACAGCGAAATTAAACACGAAAAGTCTTACTATGAAAGATGTACATTTGATTAATAAATATATTTATAATGGCAGAAAACAAGCTATTCCCAAAATTTCAAAGTGTGCTGCAGGAAGTACATGACTCGTTAAACTCCGTGGAAGTGACAACCAACCAAAAAGAACAATTTTTATTGAAAAATAATCCGGTAAAAAAATGTGTTTGATTTTTCTTGTGTATCTAACTTAACATTTTTAAGTAAATCAGAAATAATTTATGTTCTTTGATCAAGTAAAAGGCAAATATCGAGCAGATTAATTAATTAAATCTTGCCCAATTACTTTCACTCCCTAGACCATCTTCAGGGGAATTTCGTCAATTGTGGACTATATGACAAGAATAAAATGTTATAAACATAAAATGGTACTTAATTACTATTTATAACTGGGAATAAGCCACAATTAAAGATAAAAAATACGTTTATTGACGTTTCAATTTCCAATTCGGAAATCGTTCTCAAAATACAAACAGTAAATTAAACAAATTTTGTTTTTTGTTACATAGTGAAAAAATTCTTCTAATAATTTAATTTTATCTGACTCATTTATATTGACAATTCAGACATACATTATGCATTTTAGAGTAGACGACTTTAAAATGATATTGCCAATATTGTTGACTTGCGCTCCTGGGACGACTTTACTATAAGATAGTTCATTCGATTACATGAAATCAACTTTAACTTGAGAATATCCGTCAGAAAAAATCATAGCATGTAATTCGTCTTTAAAAAGACAAACACATGACATGATGACAGTAAAATTCTCCTGTTAGTGATTCCATAGTAAATTATGAGGGAAAAACCAGGAAAAAAACCTCATAATACTATCCCGACATTGTAAGTATTTGTTCGTGAATTTAGTTTACCTTTAACAAACATCAAAATTCTGATTTTATATGTTACGTTATTTAAAAAAACATAAATGATGTATCCTCTATATGTTACTGACTTACTAATACTGGTATTTTCTTATTAATAACTTCCTCTTTCAATATTGGTAACCAGATCCTACTACATTCTGCCGAGGAATTTGCGACACAATTGGCCTCATTTAGCATAATTAGAGCCGCTTCTTTGATTTTTCTTTTTTTACCATCCGTTTACCATCTATCAAATTCTCTATTTTTAATATAAGATTGATGTTCACTTATTCTAACATTTAATGGCCTTGATGATTCACCTAAATAAAACTGATCGCATTCACAA